GAAAAGGAGTATTTCTGCTTTCACTTCACCACCTCTTCATTTATGGGTTTTTCATAAATATCCTGTTTTGCTGCAGACTCTCTTCAGGGTGGGGGTTGTTGAGAGGAAGCATCACCATTAGCTGATTTTAGCCAGGAGGATGGGAGGCATTAAGTCTCTCGTGCTTATCATTCTAATCAGGTTTTCTTATGGTCCCTGTCATAAATACAGTAATACTGACTAAATATGAAATAGAGAGAGCTGCATTAAGTAGAATTATTCAAGTGCTTACAAGAATTTGTTCAGGCACACAAACAAGTAAACAAACTCAGGTCAAGATAAGTAAACCAGGAAAGAATGTTTCCAGGTAATTGCTACTAATTTGATAAACTCCCCCACTCCCACGAAGAAGTTCTCTGCTCAGTTCCGTAATGTTTGAAATATTTTAGACCTTTCTGGCTGTCTAGCTCCCCTGGAAAAAAATACAGCCAGTTTAAATGCAAATTTTTGTGTTAGAAACCATAAGTGTTAGTCATAATTAGGTCATGGAGCACTGAATTCTGAAAGACTTACCAGAAAATAATTTCAGGAAGTAGCACATAACCAGCTGAATGAGATTCTGCAGTACATTAATACAATTAGAGGAGCTAACAAACAGACTGTGGATACATATCAATTAAAATAAAAGTTATTGCAGCTACATGTAGCATTTGAAACACAATTAATTTCTTCTGTTGGAATCAAGATTTTAAACAAAAAATTGCTGTCAATATGAAAATACTTCTGAAAAGGGAGGTGTGAATGATTTAGTCCTGGATAACTTTACTCAGAAATCAACAATTAGAAACCAAGTAAATCTCTTTAACTTAGCCAAAGGAAAGGCTAAGTAGTCATTTCACACCAGCCACTAGTATCTTACATGAGGAGATGATTTCAGGTAGGAGAGAAGTATTTTCTTTTCTTCTTTTTTAAATCTATGAGAGAAAGATGGAAAGAGTCCAGTAGTTGGACACTGAAGGTAAATACAATTAGACAGAAACTAAATTAAGAATTTTTACAAAGGCAAATTATCTTTATTGGCTGAAACCTCTTGCCTAAACATATGCAAGACTTGTAGTCTTTCTATTAGCTCAGATGGAAGCCCAGTACAGGAAGTGCAGGTACAATTACAGCAGCTTCTAGCAGTGGAAGACAAACTTAGCTGGATGTCTTGGGGACCAGACTGCTTGCTGCTTTCTTGTGTTCTAATGTCGAGTTTCTGCAGCACTGCAAAGTTGTGGGCGAAGGCAGAAAAGCTGTATGAGAACTAGAAAGGAGAACCACCTTCATTCTGCAGGAAAGAGGCAAAATGTCTCAGATGATGCCCTGAAATGATACATCAGGTATGCTGCCAGCAGTCCATCAGCACCTGGAGGTGGTAGTGATTTTGATTTCCAAAGTGGTCTCAAGTTGGTTGCAATGGTGTTTCCATCCTTTCTGTATGTTTCCAGGGCAGAATTCTGCCTGTTACCTGCTCAAGGAAATGAGGCCTTGCATCTGTGCCTTTCCCCTTCCCTCCTGTGGTTCCTGTCTCCACTTCCCAAAAGCAATTTTAAGTTATTTTAACCAGAATTTGTACAACACAGATTTTCCAAATGCTCTCAACTGCTTATTAATAGAAACACAGACGACTGAATGTTATTGCTATATCTATCACCTGAAATTAATATTCTGGGATTTACCCCCAGATTTGGGGTCCAATTGAACACACAATAAAAAGATAACATTTTCTCATAAGAATTTATAAGGTGAAACAAATTATTTGACAGATACCACTGAGAGAGGAAGTAGTGCAAGCAGTTGACAACAGCCTCAGCATGTGGGTAGCCAAGATATCATCTAGGTTTCAGAAACCCTGTAAAGCACAGCTTTACAGGGAGACTTGAAGAATGAGGTTGATGTAGCCCAAGAGAATTGTAAGCAGCACCTTCAATGTGTAAGCAGTAGCATGGAGGATGATTAGGAGAAATAGGTTTAATGATCTAATGGGAGGCAGAAGCTGACAACATAGAGTTAACTTCTAGATGGGGAAGTGAGAGATGACAAGAAGGCAAGAAGAGGCTGTCAGTGATTTTAAAATTGGGGACAAGAAGCTTATGCTTGATAAGATAGAGAAAGAGAGAAGAAATGTATAGAAAAATGTAACGGGCTCAAAGGGATGGACATAAAACAGGATTTTTGTGTCTTTGACTTTTGGATGGCTACAAGTAAGATCAGTTTTACAAAAGCCTGATAAACATGATGTATCATATAAGAAGAGCATGAGCAAGGATTTTGCATGGAGATATGTGCATAAGATTCTTCAATATGCTTGGGTATTCTTTGATATATATGCTATTATATGCCAGCCTGCAGCAGACAGCTGGGAGTTCTAGGGTTTATTCCACTTCTATACTTTTTAATAAGGTATATTGCTTAATCAATGTAATTTTTTTCTTGTTGCAGCTCATTCACATGATCTTGTATGCTCACCTGAATCTTAGAGGAAGTCAGAATTTTCAGGATCTGGACTCTTTCAAAATGTGTCTTGCTCCTTCTTGCTCCCAGAGCAAGATTCTAATGTTGACAAGACACTTGACAAGGTCTAGCAATGCATGTTTGCAGCCCAGAAAGCCCATTGTATCCAGGGCCGCACCAAAAGCAGCATGACCAGCAGGTTAAGGGAGAGGATTCTACCTCTCTACTCTGCTCTTGTGAGATTCCCACTTGCAGTACTGTGTCCAGTTCTGAGGTCCTCAACCTAAGAAGGGCATGGAGTTGCTAGACCAAGTCTGGAGGAGGCCACAGAGATAATCAGAGAACTGGAGTCCCTCTGCTATGGAGACAGGATAGGAGAGCTCGACTTGCTCAGCTTGGAGAAGGCTCCAGGGAGAACTTAGAGTCTCTTCCAGTACATAAAAGAGCTATTAGAAAGCTGGAGATGGGCATGTAGTGATGGGGCAATGAGGAATGGCTTCCAACAAGCAGAGGCCAAGGTTACATGGGGTATTGCATAGAAATTTTTCCCTGTGAGGGCAATGAGATACTGGCACAAGTTGTCCAGAAAAGACATTCCTACCCCATCCCTGGAGGTGTTCCAGGTAAGGTTGGATGGGGTTTGGAGCAACCTGGTCTAGTGGAAGGTGTTGCTGCCCATGGCAGAGGATTTGAAGATGTCTTCCTACTGAAGCCATTCCAGAATTCTGTGATACAATGAGTGGTGCACAGTGGGAGCAGACACAGCAGATCTGGACCCTTGAATGCTCTGTTTCATTCCTTACATCTTAGCAATTAGTCATAAATGACCTGCTCTCCCTTGGCCATAATCCCTTCCTTTGCTTATGTCTCTTCCAGAGGCAGCACCAACAGGCACTAAAAAAAGATAGGACACTGACTAGCACCTACAACATAAAACAGTGACAGACAATAGCATGCCTGTACCAACAGGTACACCCCTTCATCCACTAAGATTACCAAAAGTGCAGAGTCTCCAGAACAATCTGTCAGGATAGTATGTGCAATGGGAGGGGTATCCATTGTAAACAATAATCCCTGCCTATAAGAAAAGATTTTTGTGGGTCCTTTAAGAAAAATCTACCTTCTGAATATCTAGGCCTCTAAGCACTCATCTGACAGAAACAGATCAAATGTGCATTTTCCCAATAATTTGATGCTCACAAACAGCCATGTACTTTTAGATGTGATATACTTGGATCCCAGAAAGAAAGCTGCTACAAAGGATGACTGCAATAAAGCAATATTCATACACACACACACACACACATATATACATACATTTAAAAAGTATGTTTATGTCTGCAAAGTCCCAAACACTGAGGACTATTTTGGCTGGATTCCTTTACATTCATCTCTTGCACTCAGAGAGATGTTCAAGATGGCCCTTCTCTCAAGCACAATCCATCAGAATTATTGCAATAGTGGTGTTTTGTGCTCAGCAAACTATCAGAACAAAAGTACAAAAACACTTCTGGTCTTCAGGTTCCTAATTCAAGAAACAATATGGAATTTCACATTTAGATTAAAAAATATTTTCAATATTTTGCTCAGTAGAGGTCCCCTAACATTACATACTGGAATGCATAGAACAGAAATATGGTAAACCGTCTTACCAGTTCAAAAGAAATGTCACTTTTCACCCTGCTTCTGTCCCTTGATAGTTTAAGCTGTGTGGTTTAATGATCAGGCAGTAGCAGCAGTGGCATAATAAAACAGATCTTACTGTACCTGATTTTAAAGATAATCTCAAGAACCAATGAAAAACTGCTCTGATTATCAGATTGAGTTAAAGTAGCTATATATGTAATTTCTCATTAGTCATGGAGAAACAGGAATTTCTGCTAAAGGGTTAACATTTAAAAGGCCAAGTAATTTTCTGAATAGAAAAGTATCTGATTGCAACTTTTTGCCTAATTTCCTAGCCCTGTGTGGATGTGGAGCTAAACTGTTTTCACCCAGGTCCTGTGCCCAACTGTGCCCAGACCCCTGCAGCATCCCGAAGCTGCCCTGTCCTGTTCTTCTTCCACTGCCGATTGCTGCACCGTATTCAAAGGGCAGCTCTGGAAGCAAAGGCAAACAACCATTGCAGTGCTTCCTTGTACTGATCCTAGAATGTATAAAGAACAGATCTTCCCATGCCCAGCAGCAATGATGCAATGGCAGTGTTACAGCCAGGATCCATCAAGTACATCTCTAGTGCCAGAGAACAGAAAGAGAGAAGCAGTCAAAGAAAAAATTGAGTAACAGTCTGTCAGTATCAGCTTCTGGGTCCAAGAGACAGGGAGGCAAGGGCCATGCAGAAATAGAGATGGACATTTCCAAGTTGGTACATCAGAATGGATTGAGGTGCTTCTCTCAGTACCTGCTTTTTGACCCTATTGCTCCTGGGGAAAAGAAAAATTCCAAATCAGAACTGCTACATCAGGGACATTTTCAGTTTACTCCTAAGAGGCACTGAAAACCCCCCACCTCAAACCCCTCCACATCCACAGTGACAACTCACTGACCAAAATCTTAATTGTTATACCTTGCTTCAAAGGGAACAGCTTCCCTTATTTTAATACCCTTGTGTCACGCACTTGTTCGTTAAGTCTGTCTCCTAGGGTGAGCAGAGATAACTTCCAGCCCAACATAACACCAAACCACCACCGTCTATCAGATGTACAGCCAGATAGTCTTCCAGTAACAGAAGCAGTTCCTCCAGCAGTTCTGGGGCCATCAGCACAAACGGAAACAGAGCACACAGGACTGAGATGTAAAGGGCCCCAGAAAAACAAGCAAGTTTCTCCCTTAAGCAGCCTGGGGTCAATTACCATGGTGTAGTTACTGAAGTGAAAAGAACTGTGAGATGAAGCTGCAGCAGACTGTGCCGAGACCATCAGAAACGCTTCTATCCAGTACACATTCGCACCAACACAATCACAATGCAAGCAGCCCTCGTGGGACCGTGTGGGGCAGCCAGCTCTTCAGGGCAGTGAAGCTGGGGAGATTCTCTGCTGCCTTGTGGAAGGCATGAGAGGGACAGCATGCCTCAGCACATGAAGACAACACCTCCCATGACTTATCACAGCAAATGACAAGAAAAATGGAAAATAAGGAGGGAATAAACCAAAGAAGCTAATATATCTTAGAGCAGTTCCCAGGAAGCCATTGAACTAGGGATGTATTGAGGGAGTAATAACAACAAAATGGACAAAACTACGTCATGTAGGTCCAAAATCAACATAGGAAATACCATGGTGCATCTGAACAATCAAACCAGAGGATGTGGATGTAATGCAGTACTGTGCCAACACTCACCTATGAAAATATCAGCTTCTCTTTACTATAGTGCTCTCTCCCATTTAGGGAGCTTTGGGGTTGCCTATAGTCTCAGGTAAGAGAAGGGCGTGAGGGAAGGGAATTTATTGGTATCACAGCAACAACAGATGATTACTACACTGGAAACATGCATCATTCATCACAAAGGTTCTCTCAAGATATGACCTTCTGGAGCCAAGCAGTCTATGGGTTAGCAGCACTATGCCTATGTAAGATTACAGTCTTCACATTCAATTTCAGTATTACTTTTCAGTGACTTTTAAAGACAATTATCCTGAACAAATCAGCGATGTGGAGATGTCAGAGAGAAAAACAGATTCAAAGTTACAGTGCAATTTCATATTTGGCTTTATTAGCTAGCAGAAATTGCTCAAATTTTGTGCTACTGACCTTTAACTGCAGCAGAGCAAGTCCAAGGCAGAAGTGGCAGGCATATCCAGGTAGGACAATGTTTCGATAATTTTGGCAAAATTCTAAAAGCTGCTCAATTAAAATGCTTGAAAAGTGCAGGGAGAGAGTCTGACTCAATAGAAAAGCCTATTAGGGAGAGTTTGTTTAGAATTCGATATATTTTGAAGTCTTTTCATTTGCAGACTCCTCCTGGAAAGTTTTTGTGAAACCTGAGTTGTGCTTAGTCTCTAGTACACTCATTTCTGCAATGATTACATAAGAATTAGTTTTGATCCTCATGGACAGGTTTGGAGCCCTCCGTAATTGACAGACTACTACAGCTGAGTTTAAAGAGCCAAAAATAGTAGAAGGACGAGTAACATCACATGATTGGAAAGGTAGGGGAGCTTTGACATAGCAAACATGCCTGCCATGGGTTATGATTCTGAGGTTCCATGTGCAGCCAAACCCTTAAGTCATGTGAGAATACCAGGGAAAATAACTTAAAGTTCTGTACTCTTTATAAGGTTACTGCAAAAAAATTTGCATATCTATATAAGCCAAAGGATAATTTTCAAGATAGAGGGGTTTTTTTCCTGGCATTTTTCTGACATTAAGGGAGGGTTGATATATGATTCTAAAAAAGCCCAAAACCCAACAAAACTCAGGAACAATCAATCACAACAAATTTGAGACATTAGTAGGATAAGTGGGAATAGAAACAGGCATATTTCTGTCATCCTAACAGGTGACAGTTTATGCAATAGAGCTTACACAAAATAAACTTTGTTTCTCTTCTGAATTTTGCTAGCAGTTTGCTCCTGGCACACTATGGAAAAGGCCCCACACTCATCCAGTCCTTAGTTTGTCTGTGTCCCACTGATAGGGCTCTCAGAGCGACAGGAGACCCACTGCTTGACGTAGCTACGTGTAAAGTCTTGCCCCTCCTGCTCAAGAGGGATGGGCTCACAAATGGTCTGACTGTTTTGCCCAAATTCAGAGTCAACTGGACTTCCACAATCTGAGTCCACAAAGCCACTATCAATAGTGTCCAAATCTACACAGATCAAAGGATAACAGTCACCAGGCTTTGTATTGTGAGGGAAGAAGTCATAGGAGCCTTCACTGTAGGAAACACTTTCACCATCAGGAGAAGGTAGAGAACCTGGATTTTCCAAATCCCACTGATAAGGCTGCAAACAAAGGGCTTCTAGGATGCTCCCCACCCCTCCTTCCACTCCCCTTTCTCCTTGCTGGTTGACTGGGACACTTGTGCTCCTCAGGTGGTCTGTGGACACAGAGCCTGAAGCAAGTATTTTGTCCTGTGTACTTAGATCAGCCAAATGCAAGTCACTGGATAGCTTTCTGTCTTCCTCATCAAGGTTAACCTTGGGGTAACCAAGTTCTCCAGCACTATCATCTTCCTTGTTGGTATGCTCATGTTCCCTGTACACATGGTTACAACTGCACTGGCAGTTACAAGATGCAAATTCATCAGCCACAGTCACTGTATCAATCGACAAGTGCCCATATGACTGGTCCTCAGTCCCACCACTACTGTTTACACTACACCACAGCAACTGGCTTTCATGACCTGGGGTAGTCAGGCAAGACACACAGGGCTTGCAAGGCAGATTCTTTCTTAGCTCATGCAGCTCTTCCTGTGGGGTGCTGTTGGAAGGATGCATGGTGTAAACTTCTAGGACTTCTGGAAGGACTATTCCCCATTCAAAGAAATCAAAGGTCATTTTCATATGGGATGCACCAACCCACTTCTGCAGAAAAAGAAAGGGGAGAGAGAGGTTACCATCACAAGGTTTGAGGTTCCACAGAAAAAACCAAATTCCCTACACTTTTGGAGGCAAAAACTAAACTTTAAAATCACTGACTCCTCCAATATAACAGGAGGATGCTGTTACTATGAGACATGGGCAACTGCAGGAGAACTAACTGAAGTAATTGAAAATAATCAGCTCTGAGAGTTTTGCATGGCTTTGCAGTTTTCTCTGACACTCCTGTCAGTATCCCAGGCTTCAGAAATCACATGAACTCTGCTCACAGATTGAGACAACACTTACACAGAATAAGGAGTATAAATGTAACATAAAGGCTTTCATGGCACTGAACAGATACTGGAAACCTCTAGTTCTTATATCTGAAGACATTTGGCATTCATTTGACATAGATTTCTCCTTCTACTGCCCTAATGAGAATCCCTTGCTCAGGATAGCATGATGTCCTTTTAGTTTGTCTTGCACTCCACTCACTTGTGCAGCTCATTATTACCTTAAAATCTCCATTATGAGCCATGTAAAGAGGTTTGAAAAAGGGAGCAGGGTCTGGGATGCAAGCCATCTTATTCCACAAGCTGGAAGAGAAAAGAAAAAGGCTTTGGGGTTAAGCACACATTACAAATGCAAAGCAAGGCATCTCCAGATCCATTTAAAGCAACTGGAATCACTTGCCCAGCCTTGTGAGTTAGCAAGCAGCTGAGTTTCCAAGGATGTCTTGTGCTGCCAGAGCCATCTAATAGCCTCCCTTGTGAACCTCACTAGAGGTGAGACCTCAGCACTTGCACACACACATTCACACTAAGGTAAGAGGTTCCAGTTTTTTCCTTCCTGGAAAAGCACCAAATGCTAGAAATGCATTTTCACTGAGTCTGAGCTGGTTTGTGGTCTGCAGGCCAGACCTTTTCCTTATACAATTCCTCTGTGGACCTAGGCTGTGCCAGCCCTATTGCTGCACCAGCCCAGCCCTCCTCCATGTCAGCACCTCATATCTCTTCAAGGGCATAAGAAACCTCTGAGAGGGACAGAGGCCTCCAGCCAGCACTGGGGGACCTATGTCAGCTTTGGAAAGGGGCAGCTAGCTCTGGCTACTGCTCTATCTGGCAACTGCAGAGCACAGACAAGACCAGGAGAGCAGCTCGGAAGGCTGTGTGGTCCTTGCTTCATCCCCATGTGCAACCATCTTGGCCCAGCCAGCTGAATGGCAGCAGAATCCCAGAGAAAAGCAGGTCACTTGGGGCAGTACATCAGCCAGTGACCATTCTTGGCTGTCCCTTACAGGCTCATAGCTGCCCACCCATAGATATACAAGACTCAAGGAAGGCTGCATATGAACACCTCATCTTTAACAAGATAGAATAAAAGCATTAACTCATGCCTCCTGAAGCATTCTTACCTCTGCTGTTTGGCCAGAAATGTTGTGATTGAGGCCATGATTGCCACGACAATACCAAACAGCAACAGCCATTCCATGCCTGCCGTCTGTCTCACTGCTGAAGAAAGAGACGAGTCATTCAGGCTCACCTTGCATTTATACCCTGATCAATAGACAGGAGAAGGTTAGGGGAAAAAGCATTTGGAATAGAAAATGTTGTCAAGCATTGGAATGGACTGCCCAAGGAGATGGTGAAGTCACTATGCTTGGAGGTCAAGAGACTGGACATCGCTCTTAGTACTATGGTCTAGTTGATTAAGTGACCATCAGTCAAAGGTTGGACCTGATGATCTTGGAGGTCTTTTCCAACCTAATTGATTAATTTCTATCCCAGAGTCTCTCACTGGGATATTGAGGCTGTCACCTAGGCATCAGTACTCCAGACAGGTCTGAGGGTGTTCAGAGATGACAGCATCAATGAAAGCAGCAGTATGTCAGCCCTATGACCTGGCTGCACCACAGATAGACAGCCAACATAGTTAGGGCGGGACAGCTCCTTCCCGCAAAGACCCCTGGTGTTCTGACTCCTAGTTAGGGACACCTCCACAGATGATCTGTGAAGTGAAAGAGTGTGGTTGATTAGAGACAAGTGTTGACTAGATGCTGGTTTGGTAGCTGCTCTCCACCTGTGATGAAAAGGAACACCTTTGAGATCCAGAACTTGGATATCCCTTAGAAAATGGAGCCTGGCTATGCTGCCACTGCATCAGGTAAACCCTGTAATACTTCAGTTTGAGCTGCAGATCAGTGAGAGCAGGGAAGCTCAGCACATACTGCTGGCATTGACCACAGTAATTTTGCACCTGCTCTATTGGAGCAAAGGCTCCTTATTTTCATAGTCTCTGTCCTACCATGACACGCATCCATGTAGCTCCACTTACTGTGAACTCCCTGCAAAGAACTGCAGAGTGCACCACTGCAGAGTGGTGGCTACCAAACAAAACATCCATGCCCAGCATGACCCAACATCACAGTCCAGACCCAGAACTCAGGTTTGAGAGCAGGATCCCCCTCCCCTCGGCTGAAGACAACACTAAGACCCAGTAGAGCTCTCCCCCATTTCTGGAAGCTGAAAATAGGACCCTGGACATTTGACACTGAAAAGAAAGCTGGAGGCTGGCACTCCTGCAAGTGGTATCGAAATGTACAGCCAACCCCACCAAACACTCTTCTTTTGCCACACAGTGAGAACATCAATACTGACAGCCCAGGTTTGGGGTCCACATAACCAGTAAGGAAGCTAACCATACCTGTCTTCACTGGACTGTTTAAAATTTGTTCTAATTAATTAGATTTTATTAAATTTCTGGAAGCATTTTCTAACACTGGACTAATTGAAAGGGCAAGCATGTACCGGCAGGGCTGGTTTTCAATGACAGCGGAGAACTCCATTCACTCCAAAAACCACCATAGCCACTGTCTTCCCGGGGTCGAGCTCTCACTTGGAACTCGTACTCAGTGTTTGCCTGTAGTTCCCACGGCAGGATTACCAGTATCCGTTTATCTTCATGAACAGCTTTAATCTTCTGAGTCTGTGAATGATTAAATACCAAACACTAGAGTGACTGCTCTTACTTTGCTTGCACTGCTGCACAGTGAGGATGCCTGCAAAGCAACCTCTTCTGCTTCCATGTTGTTTCTGCAAGGCCATGCTCTGACTGGTCAGCAGCTGCATGCAATCATGGGGGAGCCTTCCAGGCAGCACAGCATGAGAATCAAATGAACTATCAGTCTTCCTCACAGGATCTAATATTCTCATACAGCTTCTGCTTCTCAATTAAGTTTTTGGTTTGCTTGTTTTCAGTCCAGTCAAGCAGAGAGACATTTTTTCTAAACCATGATAACCTTTCTTTCCCACCAGTGCTACTGTCCTAATTGTGCTGGCCTCCTCTTTTCTGGTACATCCTACTTGATAGTAAACTGACATCTCACTTACCTCCCAGGTGTCTGTTTTTCTTTTGTAACGCAGCTGATATTCCAGCTCCTCATTCAAAAAGTAGAAAGAAGAGTTGTGGTAGATGGTTTCCCAAGATATATTGTAACCCTCTGAGAACAAAGCGGTCAGGTTGAATGGAGGCTGTGGTTTTACTGAAAGACAGGATGGTGTTACCTTTCATGAGACTACTACAGTGAAGAGATGGCCCAACATGGTATCAGCAATGCAGAGTGAGCAGGGAACAAAGCTGCCCTGGCAGTGGTGGGCCTTCCTACTCTAGAGAACATTCACAGCACTCCTGTCCTCAGCCCTACACAGAACCTCACATGTGAGGAGTATAATGAAGTCAGGACAACATTTCTCTGAATATATCTTCTGTTTGTCTCTGAGCCTCCTCTGCCTATAGAGAAGGTCCTGGGAGATTATGTAAAATGTAAAGCACCTTGTCCTTCTCATGACATAAAAGAACTCTGTGTAGTCATGATCAATCACAAGATAGGGGAAATACCCCTCAATGTAACAGAGTAATGAGGAAAAGCTGAGGTTAGGGGACACTGCATAAACCCACTGCAATTCTGTGTCCCATCTGCTCAAAAAGCAAGCTTTTGTATCCCTGCAGGGAGTGTTCATATATAGAAATTCAGTGATGTAAAACTCCAGCAGTCTGCAGGGTCCACCACTGAGCTATGATGCCTTTGGATGAGGGCCTCTAGGAGATAAGCAAAGCACCACTACTCCATCTCTATTCTGTAAGTGGGAGCAAGGAGGCTTCCTGAAATGTTAACGTATTTGTCAAAAAGATGACACTTCTCAAGTAAAGTTTCAGAAGCAGCCAAATAGGAAAATCCTTTTCCTATATCTGTGTGGTACCCATCTGCCTGGCTAATCACTCCTTTTCTTTAAAGTTTGATACACAGCCCAGAACCAACATTCCACCAAGTCAGATACATGACTGCATTCAGTCTTGGTGTCATGCAGGAGAAAGGATTAGGAATTGCCCCAGAAAGGGGAACTGCCACATCTAGTACATCTGGGACACCTTGTGCCACCCAAAATAATGTCATGTTGGTTCAGGTGTTCACTGCAAAAGCCTTTTGGGAGCCTCCAGCTCCTTGGATATTACAAGACAGCTGGAGAAAGACTTTTGACAGGGGCATGTAGTGATAGGACAAGGGGTAATGGCTTTATACTGGCAGAGAACAGGGTTAGATGGGATATCAGGGAGAAATTCTTGCCTGTGAGGGTGGTGCACAGGTTGCTCTAGCACAGGTTGCTCAGAGAAACTGTGGCTGCTCCATCCCTGGAAATGTCCAAGATCAGTCTGGATGGGATTTGGAGCAACCTGGTCTAGTGGAAGGTGTCCCTGCCCATGGCAGGGAGTTGAGCTGAATGACCTTTAAGGTCTCTTCCAACCAAAACCATTTTAAGGATTCTGTGATTTGTGACATTTGTTATAAAGTAATTCCTCCTGCCCTTTAGAATCTAGCCAAGAACAAGCTCTTGCATAGCCTAGGTATGAGACTGGTCTAAGGTGGATATTTATCACCTACTGCTTCATGGGGAAAAGGAATTTCTGCACAAAAAGCCTGGACCAAGCCAGCTCGAAGTTCAGCCTCAAGCATAATAGCAATAATAAGAGCACAGTGCTTTATGTAGATGAGTATACCCCAAACATAGCCCCAACACTGCTTGCTGCCAATCTCACTCCTTGTCTAGACTATCCTAGCACATAAAGTCAAACAGTATTTATGGAATTCACCATTTTTATACTTACTGTTGTCTGACAAATAAAAGTCTTTGGAAAGCACGTGTTGCCTATCAGCTACCTGTGTAACATCCACCTGTACTTTGGTATCTGCCAGGAGTTCAGTCATGTCCACAGTGCACATGTACTGTGTGTGACTGGTGTTTCTTGACAATTGCAGGAGACTGCAGGCAGCCACAGTGTTTTCTGGATCTTCCTCAGGAACCCTAAAAAAGCCAAAACAAAGAAGTCTGCATATATCACATGCTGTAGTTGGATTAATTCGTTGCTGAACCACCAGGCAAAGGAGATTATGAAAATGAAAAATCAACATGTTCAAATAAAAATTTTCTGTGAACTTCAGCATTTTTCCCCCTTCTACTTGCTCAGCTTAGCATCTTTGACAGGAATAGGAAAGTGTTTCTGGAAAGGAAAGGTGCTCCTTGGGGCTACACAGTCCAAGACTGCATCCACTTCCTTGCTAGGGCATAACAGCAGCAGACTGGACAATCTACATGAGCCCTGCCAATGCACAGGGGTGAAATTTCACTTTTAACAGCAGCAAAGGGCAAGGTATTCACATGGTAGCAAAGAAGGCAATGCTAAGGAAGCTGGAGTCAGCATAGCAGTCATCAGCAAGAAGCACAGTCAGTGGAGACAGGAAACAGGGGTCCTTTGCAAGGGAAGAAGTTAGTTTATAACTGAACTGAAAAATACCAAGCGAAAAACCAGCATGGCAGCAAAAACAGGATTTCTATCTAACAAAGAGGAAGGAAGGTCATCACTGTGCTATGGCCATGTGGAGGCTCCTGCTAATTGGACTTTGCTCATCCCACCAAGACATACCATGTAGCAGTGAGATTGTATGAACCAGCACCCAACTCATCTTGCAGGATACAGGACAGGGTCTCTACATAGTCCACAAAACAAGTGAGGTTTTCACAACATATAGCTGTAGGTTTGGAAAGAGAAAACACAATATCAATATGTTGATAAATCAACATATGCACTCCTCAGGGCTCCCACTAAATCTGAAGGGAACAGACCAGTCTCTGACAACCATCCTCCCTCCCACTGAAAGTCTCCAGTTTTGGAGCATAAGATGTGTTCCAACTCTACAGGGTGACAAGACATTGATGGCAAGATAAGTGTCAAACAAAAACCTATTAAAAACATTGTGGTAGCCAAAATCAGGAAATGCCCAAATTGTGACTCTCATAGAATCACTGCAGCAGAGTCACATTTCTGCAAGAACCTTAGTTTATACGGCACATAGAAGAGGATTGAAACCCAGTAAGAAACAGTAGCATATTCAAACATTTTAATGATACCACTTTCTAAATTAAGTAATGTTCATTGCTAGTCTAGTTTTCTTTGTACATATACATAGCACTTCACACATTTTTTTCAAGTGTTATTTTAGTAATTTTTTCTTTGCCATTCTCTTTTCTGTTTTCTAAAGCTTGATATCTTCCGTATCAATACTTTTTATGTCCAGCTCCAGAGTCTTGATGTATGTTTTTCATTAAATTTGGGAATAAAAAATACTGCAAATTTATAATTACTATAATTTCTATAAAACATTCTGATAAGCACAATTTATTAATTACAGACTTCTCAAAAGAATTTTAAATGCAATTGTAGAACTTATACTGGTCATTAGGAAAATCAAGTAATTTTTTGGAAGGGGTCACAAAGCAGCATTTATACTCTTTGTACTTGTTCTGTGGGAGCTCTGCTCACAGAGCAGTATCCACTATGTGTTCTATAAAAGTACAATTGTCCTGTACATAACACACTTTTCTCCCTGGATTTCAAGGCAGAAATTATAGTAGCACAGTGAGAAATGTCTGCATTGAAGAGTCCCCTCCTGACAGCTTCCTGGGCTGACAAGAACCATCACCATTACACTGGGAATGGTGGAATGAGGAAAGGCCTGAAGAAGCTGCAGCATGCCATGCTGGTTCACACCATTCATTTCAGACACATAAAGAATTAACCATTTTCGATGGGAATAAAATAGCCATCATCTATGAAAAGACTCAAGATTGTTACATCCATGGTTAAATCAAGCATGTGTCCTCCCCTACTGTAAAGGCTCCTGAGAACACACTACTTTGCAGCCATCAGGCAACCAAACCCTTTGATGCTAACCATGCTGCAAGCTCACTTCCCTTTGTTGTTCTGCTGCTTTCTTGGTTAGAGAAGCTGCACTCCCTGCTTCCTCCTTCCCTGTTGCAACATGTTTAAGTCCAGAGTGTTGTTTGCTAATGTGATGTACTCAACAACCCCAATGCCCAATCTTACAGCTGAAGCTGTATGCAGAGAACCACTATGGAATGCAGACACTGTGTACAATGATGGACCAGAAACATCTGTTCCAGCCTTCAGATTAAATGGCTGTCCACATAAACAAGTTGTCTGCATTTATAGTCACAACAGACAGTAGGCGTGTCCAGCAGAGGGTGCAGCCTTCCTCTAGGGTGGGGTAAATCCAGAGGAAAACAAAATCCAACTTTTCCCTGCTGAAGTCACCCATGACAACATTTACTTCCTACTCCCCACGTATCAGAGCACACACTACTCTCCCTACACAAGCTCTGGGCAGCACTCAGACTTGCATACAAAATCCTTCTTAACCCAAAGGTGTAGGAGAGTGGCAGAAGAAATTTGGGGATGTTTGCAACAGATTGGTCCCAAGGATATTCATATGATTTTTTTAAAACTTTAACTCGACTTTTTAATTTCACACCGACTTCAGATTTTTTCTAAAATTTTCATTAAGTTGGCACATTTTATTTTGAACCCTTAATAGACACTTCTGAGGGTCCTGGACCAAGCACTGTTTAGTTCAGAATTCTGAGCAACATACTTTTTGTCTTTTAGCCTAACTTTATTCTCCTCAAAGAAATGGTGTTCGGAATCTCTTGCATTCCTTTAGAAAGGGCAGTAAGTATTAACAGGCTATTAAGCATCAGTAATTAGTGTTCTTCTATGCTATTATGTTAATTAGTCAAACAGATTACTATTCCTAGGTAGACAAACTACTATTCCTAGGTAGCTGGTAAATTGCAAGGGTATCTTTGGGCAAGAAACTGTTAACAAAATTAAGAGGACAGCTTTTTACTGGGAGAGGAATAATTAAGTGTCCTAATACCAATTAGCTAGATCTAGGATGAAATGTCTCTCCTTGGCAGCTTCAGAAACAAAACTCGAATGCTTTTAACAGTAAGATCTAGATTGATTCAAATTGAAATTAGTACATGGTAATTCCCTGGCTTGCATCACACAAAATTGAGATCAGACATCACAGTGGTCCCCTATGACATGAAGATATAATTCTGAATGCATCGTTTTGCCTTATTTAGGTCTGGGACAGGTCCAATTCTCTGCCTACAAGCAGCAGGTAAGATACTACTAAACTTGCATGGTTCCCTGCAGACTTGGTTGTCACTGCCTTTTTCTGTCCTGCTGATCTGTTCAGAAAGTCAGCTCTGAGTCAGCTGGAGTTTGCAGTGTGGGTAGGAGCCAGAAAAAGAGGGGGGATGACTGTATGCACAAGTCCAGTCCTGAGCAAAGGGACTCAGACTAGGAGAGGTTCACTACACTGACCCTGGCTGACTAGCCAGCAGCAACCCTGGGGACATCCTGGTCTTGGTCACCAGAACCTTTTCTACAGCAAAGGGTATTTGTGGTGGGGGAAATCCTACTTTAATGTCACTAGGAGACATTTCAGTGCAAGGCAGGCACTGCCTCTGCAGCCTCTCCACTGGCGCTGGTCCCCAGAGCTGTGCACAGCCTGGCTGAACTCTGCCCAGCTGTGCACCTTCCTGTGCCTGTCCTCCACTCATTACCACATGGAACTCTCTCCCTGGGGACCTTATCTTGTACTTGCTATCCCATGGCAACTTTGTGCCATGCACATCTCATCAGAGCTGGCATATATGGTCACTAAGATAAATCCTGTGGTTGTACAACCTGAAAGAAATATCTGAGGACTTACTGTACTGGAATAAAAGGCAGAAGAAAATATTCTGGAACCACGGTTTGTTCTTCATGGTAGTTCTTACTGGATGTCCTAGGGAAGAAAAAAAACAAAACAAAACAACAACAAACAAGACTCCCACAACCAATTTAGAATTCTGCTCAGACATTTATTTGATTAAGGTTGAGGTGGAATTAATCTTGCTTTCATTTAAACGTCTAAAAGTAGTGTGCCTTATTTAGACAATTATTTTCAGCTCTCCTGTGTTTATCTATTCCATGGGTTAAGGGGGGGTATGACCAACAGCATGCCAACTTGCCATAAGGAAGGTCAGTGAAATCTTTGCTCCTTGCTAGCACATGCACAGACAAAACAGCAAAGTGACTGCAGCTTGGGTTATTCAGGCAACAAGAAAGACTCAGGTTAATTGCAAACAAATTTTTTCTTCATTAGTATCTTGCAACTAAGAATGGCTTGCCACTAGAAGTGACATTGCTGCAGATTAAACAACAGAGAATTAGCCAAATGGAGTCTGAATATGACTGTGGGTTTGTGTGAGGAAAGCTAGTGAGAACTCATTGATTTGGCCTACCTGTAGTTAAATAAGCATGAAATATCTAGTTAAGGGACTCCAGAAAGACAGACCAGAATAAAAAAAGAAAAAAACCCTCAGCCTCCCATGTTGCATCCAAGAGAACAATGTACAGTACTGACTGCAGGGAAAGGCTGCCCTGATGGTATAATGAAGAGAACCTACAAGAAAGTCTTCAGAGAAGATGGCAGCAGGATGTTTAAAAAAAGAGGAAATGGCATCACAGATGACCGTTCAACCCAAAGCTCCTGCTCCAAGACAAAGCCCTCAAGTCATATAATGTATTTAAGGCTGTGTTTTCACAGCATTTAAATATTTATGGAAACACATGGATGTGCACAGAAAGACTTAAAATGTACTCTCTGCAGAGTACTGGCTGTTGATACCAAGTACATACTTCAGCACTGTTTTCTCAAGCTATTCTTAAATGGGACAAGACTTTGGAGAAGCAATGTATATTATTTTGGCAACATAGTTTAATTGAAAGCAAGTTGCAAGGATGCACAGACAGCAGGAAGGGCGCACATGTCATGCCACATAGTCTGATCTACCCTTTTAATTTAAAAAATCATAACCCCTTGTCCTGTTGCAACAGACTCTGCTAAAAAGTCTGTCCTTACCTTTCTTACTGGCTCCCTTTAAATAATGAGAGGTTGCAGTAAGGTCTCCTCAAAGCCTGCTCTTCTCCAGGCTGAACAAGCCCAACTCTCTCGGCCTGTCATACATAGCAGAGGTGCTTCAGCCCTTGAAGCATCTCTGTGGCCTCCTCTGGACTCAATACAGCAGCTCCACATGCTTGCCACATTGTGGGTCCCAGACCTGAAGGCAGAACACCAGTTAGGGTCTCAAGAGAGAAGAGTAGAGGGGAAAATCCTCTCCCTCTATCAGCTGCCCACACTGCTGGGGAAGAACCCCAGGATACAGGAGTTCCTGGGCTACCAGCACAAATGGCCTGCTTATAGCCAGCTTTTTATCCACCACTACCCCCAGGTCCTTGTCAGCAGAGCTGACAATCTCTTTGTCTCTCAGCCTGTATTAATATGGGGGGGTTTCAGGTATCCAGGTCCTGGGGTGTCTATGCAGCATCCATCACAAGCAACTAATACCTAGGCGATCATCCAGCAGAGAGAAACCCATGAAGCCTTTAAGACTTCAGGAACATTTGTGGTGTCTAAAAATTTCCCAGGTTTACTCAAATAATGAAAGCAAAACAAATTTAGCAGCCACCAGAAAGCCCCTGCAGCCTCATGTGAGCTCACAGACGTGTTCTCAGGGCGTCAGTGCCCAGGTGAGACTAGCAAGACTTGCTCTAGAGGTGCCACAAACACACTGTGTCACACCCTGCTGTGGGCAATAAGCAGAGGCAGGAACTTATACCCAGTCTGGCGTTAGAAAACTCCTTTCTACTGCTTCATTTCATTTTCTTGGTCTGGGAAATGGGGACTCAGAATCAGCATTGTTGCAACACAGACACTTGCAAATGTCAAGCATTGTACAGCTGCCAAGTACCATATCTGCAAACTCTGGAATATCCTTATGAGACCACAGCAATAAAGCTGAGTAGCCCTGCATAATATACACACGTAAATGATGCTACCAGTTTTTAATACACCAGAGAATAGGAAACAGGATCAATACAGACAGATATTTATGAATATTATTTTTGTTAAGGATCTGGAAATATGATGATGCTATAAGCTGCCAAACATTGATGCAATCTAAGCTCACAGTTTGAACTGTTTTCAGGAAATGCATGTACTTAAAAAACAAACAATCAAAAACCCTCAAAACCCCAGAACAACAACAAAACACACACACAAAAAAGGAAAAAAAAAACCAAAAGAAACAAACAAAACCCCACCAGAAAAAACATCCCCAAAAAACAAAAAAAACCAAACCCCAAATCAAAACTAATTAAGAACTCAGTTTAAGTAAACAAAAGAGAAAAAATATTTCCAAGCATGAGAAAATGAATTTTTTTCACCCAAGCAAAAAAAGAGTAGAAGACACAGTCCACCAGTTATATGCCCAAATAAGCTTTCTTCTTGAAAAAAAATCATTATCAATGCACACTGCCATCTAATCAGAAAGCTGAAGCAACAGGGAGACAAAGGGGTGCTCTGACTGTCCAGAGGCTAAAAGCAATGACAGCTGGGGCACAAGGGCCACATCAGCTATAAGAAAGATTTACAGTGAAGTTGCAACATCAAGCAGGAACAAACTGGCAGCAGGGAAAAGTGGTGGAAATATGGATATTACCTGCCCTGATCTGTGCATTTCAGCCCTCCAACAGTTCCATGACCAGCCTGGCTAAATCATTACTGCAATTGCACACCCCGCCTGAGAGCTGAGGAGCAGGTGGGTCTCCTCAGCACGAGTAAGAGCAAAGCCTACTTGTGCACAAGCAAGGGCCGTGGTGTATTGGAATACACAACGATAGATGGAGATTGACGTCACGACTGTATCAGTATTACTGTGCCAACAGAAGGATGTGGTGAGAGGAGGTGATGAATTCAGGTCCAAACACCCACACAACATTTATTACTGAACTGCTCGGCTTTCTTACATGAGAAAAGGGTGGGAGAGCTGATAAAAACTCACAAGCCTCCTATCTAAAAGGTCATAGTGGGGCTTAGATTTGTGCAATGAGGAGGCATCGGTGTCAAAGTATTAAAGGGCTAAGCCAAACTGCATAGTACAACATGAGCCACACTGAAGACAGTCTGCAATACCACTGCATTCAGCTTCCATTCATTCTCAAAATGTTCCCAGGATGAAGGCAATAGCACCAGTCCTTAGACCACAGGCAGGGAGGCCATCTGGCTCCTACACAGGTGAGGGGCTCACCCCTGTCGTATCTCATGCCGGGGACTTGTGTCTGGGCCAGGTCTCTTTAGATTGCAAGGCTCACACTGGGGGAGGGTCCATCAACTCACCTAATTACACCTTTAAAGGGGCTTCAAGGAACCCAGGCACACTAACTGTATCCTTGGACAAGAGGGAAATGAGCAGCACTGTGGAGGCATTTGGCACACACAGCACAGTGTGGAGGTAGGAGGAGCTAGGAGGAAGAGCAAGGAGCTGTAATAACCCAAGACGACTGCAGCAGTGAAGTTAGCACAAAGCAGCAGGGTGCAGGATGAGGGAGCTCCATGTTAAGCCCTCCGTACGTCTGACTCACCCTGTGAAAAACAGATGGTTTGGAATGTTCAGGCCAGGGCAGGTGGCTCTTGACCATGCTTGCCAGGTAGTTGCTGGCAACTGTTAGAACATGCATGGAGAAGGTCACATGAGTTAATCCAGAAGCTACTCCTCATTGTGTTTGGAGCAGCCTCTGTGAAAGACCAGCTCTCCCTTCTTCAGGCTTTGTGGATCACTTACAGGCACAATGTCAGGCCCAGGCTTCTAGAAAAGACTTGTCTCAGCTGATGGTGCCTGTGGGTTGTGGAGATTGTCACCTCTCTTGGGTGCAGTGTGGGACAGTACAGGGTTTATGAGGCTGAGGGGCTAAGTCAGAAATTTCCCATGCTCTTAGTAATATCTTTCTGTTGTGAGGATAGCACACCAGGACAGTGGTGTAGCTTTTGGGCCCTGATTACACAGGATTCTCCAGGGGGTGCCAATATTGTTATCTATGCAGAGGAGTGAGGGAAAGAGCAGCATGTCTGATCAGTCCAAAGAGTGATAGTCTGGCAGTCACAAGCCATGCTACTTTTAAACCCTGCAATAATATACATTTGATATTACAGAGCTAATTTTAAAAACAGGAAAACTGGTAGCACTGTAAGACCAATGGCTTTATAAATTTAAACATATTGCACCAAAAGGCCTTTTTTCCTCAAATTTAACTCATAAAAAGTATAATTTCAGCCTAGCCTGCAGCAGTAATATTCACCAAGGAGCATGTGTGAAGGGCACGCAAGGAAGGCTTGGTAGATTCTGTTATTTGTGACCCAAAACCATTTTGCCATCACTGGAAGAAGGGCAACATCATTATGTATTTATCAGCAAGATAAATAATTGAAAAACAACATTCCGAGCTGGTAATTCCTTTCTCTAGGATATAAAACCAGTCATGCTTAGAGTTATCAGGTTCATGGTTTGACAAAAAAAAAAGAAAAAAGAAAAAACTCCAGAGAAACAGTACTACCTCTGTGCTTTCTTCCTATCATAACAGAATTAAACCAACATCCCCAGCAGCGTCAAAGAGACAGACCTGGCATAACTTTAGGGTCAAAGGCACCATTACTGGCTGGTGACATTTAGGAGGAAGATAATCATACATTACAGTAAGTGAAAAATGGCAGAACAGCTGAGACATGAGTAACAGTGTTCTGCTGGAAGGGAAAGCAATAGAAGAAACCACCTCAAAGCCCAGGAAACAAGCTAAAATATGAATGAGCCAAGCAGAAAGCGGAGGTGTTAGTCAGCAAAGAAGCAGGTTAAAAAACACCAAAGCTCCACAGGTGGTGGCTCTGAGCTGACACAGAATGCTGCAGGGGAGGGAGGAGTGCATTGCTTTCAGTCTGTTGGATACTGAATATCACCTGCAGAGATCCCAGCATCCTGCCCTCCTGCCTCCCTTCTGCCATTGCCAGTTATTTGTAGTCATCAACACTGGGGTCAGCCTCTTGTTCTCCCCAAATACCCATGATGTCTGACCCCATACTGCATGAATGCTGAAGTAAGAGGACATCACTTTGGCTCTAGCCAGAGGAAAAGAGCTTACCTTCACAGAGCTGTGGCTATGTACATCTTGCTCACATGGAGGAGATTGCACAGAGGCTTTTATCTTCTCTCAGGAAATCACCCAACACATGCTGGTAAAAAGAAACAGGAATGACTGTGCTTGTGAACTCACCCTGACCATCTGGAACAGAAACCTACAGTTCTGCTCAGGCTCGAACCCAACATCCGCAGCTGCACCATGCAAAGCATGCCCAGAGCATCTCTGCATGAGGTCAGCAAGACTCACGCATTCCCACAGTGTTCACCTGAGTTGACAATGCTGGCAGAACTCCCTGCTCTTTCCATGCAAGTTGGCAGAAATTGACCCACTTAAGGCAACACAGATCAGCTTGTCCCCAGATCTCTGCAATTGAGGATGCACCAAGACCAGAACTCTAGTCCTGGCACACAGCTCTTTATGGCAAGGTCTTCATCTGCATCTCATGGAGCTCTGTTTTACCACAGCTGTCAAAAATCAGCATGTCCCACCTATCCTGCCTGGCAGCAGCTCTTCCACACCTGGGGCTGGTGCAGCAATGGAGTGTGCCTTAGGCAGCTCCCAGCACCTGTCACAGGGTAAACAACACAGCAGCTGTCTTCAGCCTCTGGCTGGGGCAGCATGTGCAAAGCAAAGCAAAGGCCTCACACAGTATGCTGCAGGGGGGTGGCCAGCTGCATCTGTAAACCACAGAACATGCAATCCTAACACACTTGGTGTCTTCTGATGTCACTGGCAGCAAAGTGATGTGTCTTTAGGAGAAAAGGCAGGAAGGGAGTGGCTTCTCAGAAAAGCCACCCTTCTAGCCCCCTTCCACTATAAAATGCTGCTACACAAACCCAATATAGAAGCAGAGACAGAGGTTTTTAAGTTGCAAGAACAGCAAAGGCAGCTTGACCAGACGTGGGAAGAATTCCTAATACTTCTGAACAACAGTGTCTGTTGCAAGGGCCCAGTACAGCTCAGAATGAGGCCATGAAATAGTCAGCACAGGCCAAACTGTGTATCCAAATTCCTGCCATAGTGAAGGAAACAAGGCATTTCATGGCTTCGTTGCCCCCCATCATGTTGTGGAGGAGCATGCTATGTGTTTCTGAAGCATCTCAGCCAGGCAGTGGAGAGGGAAGACCACCCAGCAGTGAACTGCCCTGTACAACCTTCAAGCCCACGGCCTGTCAGACATGTGCACTGGTCAGCACTTACAGCACCATACAGGCCACCTCCTCCAGACCTCAGCTGGCTGTTTACCACAGGCACTGGCTCCACAGCCAGCCAGGGTCAATGCACATCTGGTTCTCATAGAAACTCCCTAGGCCGTCAAAACAAGAACTGGGGACTGGTTAAAAGGTTGACCCAGGCGTGGAAATTCTACCCCCATAACGTCGTCCAGTTTTCTCACCTCATTATAATTTTTGTTGCTGTGTGGGTGGCTCACTGCAAGTGAAACCAGCAGTAGCTGAGCTGGGGAGAAGCAGTCAACCTCAAACCCTTCAGCTTATAGCAAATTTCCCCATTTCTAAGAGCTGAGGAAACAGCAACAAGTAGGAAAATCCCAGTACTACGTATTAGTCACCAACTTGGTAGCCTTCAATCAGAGGACAAACACCACAGTGTTATGAATGCCCTGCTCTTTACAACTGGGTAGAGACGGGATGAAGGAAATGGCTGATCCATCACTAAACTGGGGCAGGAGCTCTTTAGGATGCCTGCCATGCTTCTTGGACTGAGGCAGGTCTAGCACAGTAATCCCTCTACCAAAGACAGACTGTGGCTCATAGGCTGTACTCTTGCCATGACAATTGCCTCTCTGCATTCAGAATATAGAATCTTAGGTCTCATGCAAAGATGGTCAGTTTTATAGACAGCATTCTGGTTAAGAGCAAAAAAAAGACAAAAACAGCTGCTCTTCCCCTCATGCAGCTAAACATGCCACAGAAGCCAGTTCCCCATTTTGTTCAACTAGGGCTGTTGCCAGTTTTTCTTCTCTTTCATCTTGCAGTCATACTGAAGGGACAGTATGGACATTTCAATGTTATGGAAGGCCAAGCAGGGGCAGACTGGAAGCAGGACAGCAAAAGGGACAAATAGAGCAAAGTGCCTTTGGCCACAGCTCTGCAGAGATGTAAAGTTCTTCTGAACAAGCTTGTAATGAGAAATGAAACCACTCAGGATTTAGCAATCCACCTGTGCTGCTGATAGCTGTTATTAGGCACTTTGGGAACAGGCCAACATATGGCAACTCATTAGGCTTTAACTTTGGTTGTGTTAGTGAGGTATCTGGGAAATGCTTTCTTCCTCACTTGGCTGTGTTTTTCTTTTGCTTTGGAGCAATCTGCTTAGAAAGGCAACAGTCCCACAGTTGAAAACCAAACCAGTTCACTGGTCTCCCTGTTTTTTTTCCAGAAAGTTCCTGCTGAGCTGTTGCTTGGCTTCTGACCTTGTGATTTAGGTGCAGTAGGAGAGGCCTTGAGGGCTGTGGCCATGACTGCAAGGTCTCAGTCGCAGAAGCGTGCTGAAAGAAATGAAAATTCTGGGTAATGTGAGATCAAAATACATCATCATGTGGGAGCCTGGGGCAGACCTTGTATTCAGCAATCTGCAGAGGTGAGATGTGTTCTCTTATGTTCTCTTTGTATGCATGCATGACACACATGCCTGGTCATTGCCTAGGCATAGTCCTCCCAACAATTAATAAAAATTACCTATTTTTTTGTAAAAGAAACTGCATACAAAACAACACACTTTGGAAGCACCTCTGTCAGGGCTAGAACACAAAATGCATGAATTGTGCTCCCTGAAAGGTTTTCTGGTTAGGAGAAAACAGCCTCTCTCAGCCTCTCTTCATTAAGGAGTTTTGTCACATAATTCCATAGTCAGAGGTAAACTTTAGGAAGCAGGGTTTTGGGAGTTACAACCCTTACAATTTAGTTCTCTAACCCTTTGTTCCTTTGGCCCTATCATTGCAACACTTAAAAGAACTGGTTTTCTTATATAAAGCTCATGGTGGGTGAACACTTGGACATCCCTGGACCCTGCCTAAACAATGTAGGGTCACAAAGAAAGAGGTAGAATCAAGCTATTTAAAAAGCTGACACCTCCTTCACCCTAAATTAACTTGTCCCTACCCCCAAGAACCTGACTTCCACATCTTCAAGGTCGTGCTCTATACTAGGATAACCCTTGTCATGTGGTTATTGTTAGTTTTCTATGGGCAATGATAAACCTCATGATTGATGGGAATTTGCCAACAGCTGATCCTTACAGGTGCATATTTCCAAGAAGCCAACTCTGTTCAGAAGAGAAATGAAAAGATGCCAAGCCTGTGGCATTTCTGTAGTGGGAAAGGAATGTATCTGAACTAGCTTCTCCTGAACTGTGAATGCACTGGCTTTTTTTCTCAGGAACATATTTCACTCATGGTGAGCCAGGTTGCTAGTATTTGGTAGGTAGACAAGTGAGAAAGATGTGGAGGTGGAGTGATTGTGAGCAAGTAATAAATGGCACTATAACTAGGCTAAAATTTGGCACAAGCCTTCGCTTGCACTGCAGTCTTTCAAAACAAACTGAAAACCAATGAATATATGCTTACTGTGATCAGTAATTCTCTGTCCTGGCAGGAGCCCTCCACTTGCAAAAAGGACATGCCTGGAGGGTACCAAAGCTCCTCTCTTGGGAGAATGAGCTGCCTCTCTCTGTATAAGCATGCAGGCACAGGCTGGTTCCCAAGTGATGACCTCCAGACCCCTCACTGCCAGCTCAAAGTCACCACTCCCACTCACCACCCAAAGGGCAGATCACCAGCTTGGGCTGGAAATCTGTCACTTGAAACCCACCTGGGTTTCATAGCCTAGCAATAGTTACAGATGGCAAAAGTGGCAGGGTTAGAGGATGGAACAGGAAATTCAGCACACACTACAGCCAGACACCATTCCTGTTGCAGAAAGAGAGTGAGCCAGACAGCTGCCCCCTCAACCCCACTGTCTGTCTCCAGTTCTGAGTTATACAAAGACATAGGAGCAGGGATCCCCCTTCTCTGAGAATCAGGTTCCATTTCACCAGAGAAACACTGAAGGGAGAGAAAGGGAAGAATAACCGCATGCAGAAAACAGTAATATGGAAATGTGCAGACTGGAGAGCATAGCTATGTGGAACAAAAATGGCAGGGAAAGGCAAAATGGAGCTAGGGCTCAGCAGAGGAGCAAGTGCTGCAGCAAAGTTGGCCTAAGCAGACCTCTCCAGCCAAGCACAAGCCTTCATGGAGGCAAAATCTTTCTTCTCACAAAGAATGCAAGAGAGAGCACAGGTGTAAAAGGGAAAGAAAGCACCACTGGTGTCCCTACATAGACACCTCTACTACTTGGAAGTGAGATTTGCAGTACCAGTTGCTGTGCTTAGCATTATGGTTTCCTTCCTTATGAATAGCAATATAGAGTTTTCTAAATGAGAATAAATCTATACATTTGAATATAAAACCTCCATTACTTAATTGGTTCTTATTTGTTTTATGCTGTTGCCAACATACTATGGTGGAATTTACCATACTGAAATATATAATTATGCTGTAGAGAAGTCGTCAATAAAACTTCTTAAATAATTATCCAACAAGAAGTACATTGTGCCTTTAAGGTGCAGGCTAATTCCCATTCTGATTGGACAAGAACAAGAAGCTAAACAAAAGTATTTGATTAAGGTAGGTTGTCCGACCACACACTGGATAATCCTGGGAAGAAACACTGCTTAGAAATCCCTGACTCCTTTTACAGCTGCTGAAGTAACTTCTTGTTTCTACAAGATAAAAAACTAATCAATCACCAATAATAGCACTGTGTAAGTGAAAATTATGGTAATCTTTATTTCAGGTCTTGATTGCGCAGGTATAGAAACATACACCCCATGCCAGGGCTAAGCACACAGGACAACATCCCCCACCCCAAAAGAAGTAAGCTCTGGAAGCTGTGTGATAAATCACACACCTTCCTTTTGGACCTGACCTATATCCCACTTTCAGGTATGTCAGCACATTCCACATAACCTTTGTGCTTCCCAAGCAACACATAGCCAGGGCAATAACCACAAGAGCTGTACTAAGAACTCCTGCTTCCTGCAGCTGCTGCTCCCTTTTAGAGATTTCTCACAGCTGGAGACAGCAGCTTTGACTTTGTCTCTGTAGAGCTGTGGCTGCCACTGCTGGGTTCCAAACCCAACTGTGCCCAGGGGTCTCCACCATGTCCCAGCTGCCAATTCCAGGCAGGCGTAAATGACACAACCCAATGAATCATGGGTGACCTATAGCAGCCCTCACTTCAGTCAAGATTGAAATAACAAGCAAGAATTCAACTTGCCATACAGTTTATTTCCAAAGACTAGTTCAGTCTTGGCTAGGCTACCTCCATATAGCAGTTGTCCTCTTGGGCAAGGGTTTGCACAAAAGTTTCATTTTTTCCTTATTCTTCCTGCTGTTTCCCATTAACAGTTCCATTGGTCTTTTTTTTTTAACTGCAAGTGTCAGTCTGGAGTCCTCACTGTGAATGGTGTGAGAGTCGGAAGGATAGGAGTTACTCACAAAATGACAGGCTAGCACCTTGTCTGAGCCATGGAGCTCCAGGAGCTCTGCAGTTTTTCTGGCTAAGTTGGGCTACCAATACAATCCAGTGATGCTGGTAAGCTGATTGCTGAGTCACACCCCCTGCCCCCATTTGCATGCTTCAGCACCTCTTCACTTCCCCTTGCATCTTCAAGTTCCTTCAAGTGGTTGTGTGAGCGGCAGTGGAAGTCAGTATTTTAGCCTGTTATCATCACCCCCTTGCATTACTTTACCAGTAGGGTTAAAGCTTTTCCATTTTGTTGCCTTTCTAGCTCTTTCTCTGCTGTTTAAGTGCTCTGCTGTTTAAATCTTGACATTTCATTTCTAACAAATGCAACAGCTGTTCATCTCTCCTGGTATTTTCCTCACTGCTATCACCATTCAGATCATAAGCGCTGTTGATACAAGGGCTGCCATCACTAGTCTGTGTGTCATTTTCACTAGATGCTAAACCTGGGACAATGGTGCAGTCAGAACCCTGAACAGTCAAACACACACTGTCCTTTATCCTTGGGTCCAATTCATAGATTGCAGTATCGGGAGGTGCTTCCCTCAGGTTGTTGCACAGATTAATGAAGGATTCGTATAGTGATGTAGACATAACCTCATTGTCACTGTCCCAGTATAGACAATTACATTTACCTACACTACCAAAAGGCTGATAGCCAGATGACTGAGGTGCAGTGGGGCAAGAAATTATATTTGCTTTCCTTTGAACATTTTGATATATTACTTGCTTACACATTTCTTCCTCTGAAAGAAAAGCTGAAGCACCTTCATTTGCATGTGTGGAGAAAGACAGAAAATCAGAATGTTCTGAACAGGTGTTTGGAAAATCAAGCTCAGTGCTGGGAGATCTGTAGTTGTTACAACACATCTGATTGCTAGCAGGCTGAGCACTTTGATCTCCGCAGCTGCATCCAGGTGTCTCTGACAACTGTCTCACAGGCAGTGAGGAAGGCACGCTTTCCAAGCCCAGAGTCCGGCTACTGTCAGCCATTGACTGAGACATGAGGGCACTGAAGCTCTTGTATGCAGAGCTGCTTGGTTCCTTGCATGCAGACAGAAGCATATTAAAGCTCTTGTAGGCAGAGCCACAGGGTTCCAGGGATGGAGACAAAAGGGTGTCACAGCTCTTGTAGGCAGAACCACAGAATCCCATGGATGCAGATACAAGGGTATCAAAACCCTTGTATGCAGGGCTGTCTATTCTGTCTGTTTTGGTTCCAAACAATGATTTATTTGTAGACTCCTGGATCAGGACACAAGAGTCAAGATCACTTGCAGAACTACATAGAAAAAGGCTTTGATGAACCATTTGTTGATGATCTCTTGCATCCAGAGAAGCAGAATTTATGCTGGAGCTCCGATAGCCAGATTCAAAGGATTCTTCTGATAGTTCTGACTCTTTGCTGGCTGTACTACAATTGTAGTCATCTTGAGAGGTTTTGGTGAAAAGGGGAGCTGTATGAGAAATATCACACGATTGTGGACTCTGGGCTGCACTTTCTTTTGGATTTTGCTGTGATGGATTTTCTGACCCAATGCTCTCTAAGGTTTTCCACTCTGCTGTGGGTATGTTTGGGCCTTTATTGTCTTGCATGCTATTTTCATTTGCCAGGAGTGCATCAAACATGCCAGCTAGTAACTCATTGTGTTCAGGGTGCTCTCTGAAAACACCAATGCTGCTCTCACAAGGCTCAAGCATGGTGATCTGGTTGCTAGTTTCTTCTTGGCTCTCAGTTTCACTGTCTGTTAAACATACACAAATTTCTATACACTCTTCAACTGGTATTGTGTCAGGGGTTAAAACTGCACAGCTGCCTTTTGGCAACCACTCTTCAGACTTGCTGTGGCAACTGCAAGATTTCTCAACATTTCTGATGTTATCTTTTCCCTTGAAGTTTTGGCTTGCCAAACTTTGAGCCAGACAGTTCTTGCAACTTCTGTTTCTGGAAGTCAAAAGGAGAGGACAGTTATTGTTTATGGTACAGGAAATAATTTTATGCTGTAAAGCAGAGTGATTTTTTTTTTTTCAATCTTACTTACATTTGTTGTTCCAGATGACTTTGCTTTAAGTCCTGGAATGGGAACTTAATTTCATCAAAGTAGCACAAAACTGAAAACTAATAAAGATACAAATGAGATTGAGGACACATATGACTGTATTTAGCATCCATTATACTAGACAGACAATAGAATTTACTATTATATTCTACTTCTGATGATCAGGAAAAGGTATTTTTTGCAAAGCTTTTAAATTACCTTGACATTTTTTACAACCAATTGGCTCTTTCCTGGATTTGGGATTTGATCCCACCATTCTTTCTTCATTCTGCAAGGGAAGAATGAAAATTACTTGTTTTGATTGTACTTGGGCTTAATAAATTTACATTTCTTTCTTCTGTTCTCCTTTCCCTCTTAGGCATCAGCAACAGCAAGTGTTCATTTTGAGCATCTCCTGATTTTCATTAAACCAGTGCAAAGACATTTGTATGTTTGGTATGTGACTGCTCTGCACAACGACAGTCACCTGTTCTTCTAATCATGTTTAGAAGGATGTGTGAAATAGGATCTCATTGCCATTTAAAAATTTAACATTACCATTTAAAAATTTTTGAAAGAAATAAAGGTATTTAGCCAACATTACTTGAACTCCAGCAAAGACCAGGGTCTGATAATCCCTGACAACCCCTACTGCAATAAGCCTATTCTAGTAAGATTAATAAAACCATTCAGAAAATGACAGAGTTTATAAAACTGACTTGTGTTTATAGAATCTCTGCTCATAGACAGCTAGATAAAGGTGCTGAGAAAACCCAAAATATTAGATTTCTGTGCCTCCAGAGATTTGTCTAACCAATAGCAATACTGATATGTGTATAAACTGTTACTCTATACTCTGTAACAAGCAGGATACCTACTTGGTGAAACAGAAGTAACAAATGATGAATCCTGCCATGATCAGTACACAGGATGTGGGCACAGCCATCTGCAGAATGTCTTCAGCCTTCACCTGGTAATCTGTTAAACAAGCAAATGTTTACATGTGAATGTGCATGAAAATGCAAGTACTGATAATACCAAATTGTTTGCTGCTCTTCTGCAACTCAAAAAAATGCTCTTTTAGTGGATGTAAAATAAAGCTTCCAGCATGTTAACAACAGACTCCCACAGCTGCCAGCAGCAATGGTGTGCAGTGTGTCAGAGACCTGGCACAGGTAGTGTGCTCAGCCACTGGGTGTGGCAGGAGCTGGGAGAGCCAGTGTGCACTGTCACCCCTCAGGGACAAGGGCTATCACACAGCACCTAAAATGGCATTATCATTGTCACTGTAGTGCAGCTGTTTCTTGTTCTCTCTGCTGCTCTTCAGGGGTTTTTATAAACCCTCCTACCTCTATTAAAATACTGCTTTATTTGCAGCATTTATATATATTTCATTTATACTCACTTGCTCTCACATCAATGTTGCTGTTTAGCTCAAACACCTCTTCAACTTCCCTGCTGTCTATTTCATGAAACATTTATAGAGAATAAACAGATTTCTTTCAGCCTCTTTTTCACAAGGCTAAGCAATCCAACCTCCCTTGGTCTTCTCTTCCTTAGTTTCCCAAAGATTTCCCTATGTTTAGTATCTTTGAAAGCCTTTATTGATGTATTCACATTACATTCAAAATGATGATGAGTCCATAACTCTCCTCCAAGAGAGCAGCAGAGTATGCAAGACTATATACCATCCTTTTACAAAGCTGATACTTCTGACACTATTACCATAGTGAAATTCAACTTCTTCACTCCATTCACTCCAGTAGGCTGGGTAGTCCACATAGTTACACCTGAGACTTGCAACGTAATCATAGCCTCTCTTCAAGGAGCTTGCAGCAATCTCAAAGCTGTTTGCCTGGTAGTTAATTGCTTTTACAGAAATCTGAAAAGAAAGTGAGAAAGTTCTCTGATTTCTTTACAGGGTGAAGGGTTAGTGACAGCAACTACATACCAATAGCGTTATGTGTTTCAGTGACCTTTCACAAATGAACAAATGAATGACTATGTATGATACTGCAATTCATGTCATCAGCAGGTGGCATTTTTTACCCGCCACATGCATGTTCTTCTGCTACCAGAAGCAGCCCAGCCCAGAATTGCTGGATTATTCAGAACTCACCTGCCCCACAGAGTCATCAACCTCCAGATTCTTGATGTCAAGGGGCAAATGAAGTTCAGGGAATAGAAGCATTGAATTTTCGATCTCTGTCTTGTCTATTGCAAGCAGCAGACCATTTTGGGGTGGCAGTCAGAAGAGTTTCAATTCTTTGACACCCAGCTGAACCATCTTGGGGGCAAAGTGAACTGTGGCAAAGTGAACTGTGTGTAATCAGGATCACTGTGCTCTGGCTGGCCCTTATATTAATGAAGTGACTTTCAAGAGGACTTTTTAAACCTTAAAGCTCCAGAGACAGAAAATGAAGAGTCTGGGTGTCTCTTACCTCTGTTGGGTGCTGCTTCCTCCAGTATTTCACTTCATAGATGACTGGCTGTCCAGAGAGAAAGGATGGATGAGAGTAGCTCTCCTCCCAACTCAGATTGAAATTACCATTTTCAGCTTTCTCAATGGCAAGATTTTTGGGGGATCTCGGCTTAACTGTGTGTTAAAAAATACAGAACAGGGTAATGGAAGAGCACTGATAGAGAGAAGCATTCACCAGAGATCAGAATATCATCGCAGTCAATACACTTAGCCTTTTTCACTATGCTGTAGCACAAGAATAGAGAGGCCAAACCTGAGCAACTCGAGGGTATTTATTAAGCACTGATTCCTCAAGCTGGCTGAACCAATTGCAAGCACGGTCTTTTGGTGCACAGGATGCAGCTTTCAGCCTGGAGAAGCAGGAACAACTGTGCCTTGACAGAAGCAGCTGTGAGGCTGGGTGGACACAGAGCTCCAACATCACAGCCAAGCTGTCCTGGCTCCCTGTCTCTTGAAAATCAATGTGGACTTCTGCTTACTTGGCAGATAAGCAGCAGCATCAATCAAATATTCTGAAGAGAACCAGCTCTTTGGCCTGCCTAAGGTATGAAAATGGTTTCTCTGAGTGTTTAAGGTGACAGGTGTTACCAACAAGCACACTGTTCTGACCAAACTGGGGGTCTAGGCAGAGACAAACTGTGTCTACACTCTGTCCTGTTTAGGAGCAGTCTCTTCAACTTTTTTTATGTTAAAATCCAACATCAATTACCGTAAAAAAATCTTCTGCTGATGTGACATGGTTCAACTAGCATGAAAAATCAGAGTATGACAGAGACAGGAATGGGAAGAATTTCAGTAGGGATAGCGTAGTTTATTTCTAGAAACTGAAAGTAGCATGATGCCTCTTCATCTTGTAAGCCACAAGTAAAATGCACTAAAGATAATCTGAGTCTCCAAACTCCTTCTGGCTTGCAACTGAGAGGGTACAGCTAGAGGAACAATCACTCCCTGCTTCCCCATTACTTACATTAATTCCTTAAGAATCTAATCCAGAATCAGGTTTCTAAAACAAATGGATTTTGCATTTAAGCTACCATGACATTTGGCACCTCTAACAAGCAAAAACTGTTCTGGGGATATGAATGAGAAGTTAGCCAGGATTGCAAAGCCTGGAAACAGATGTGACAGTGACAAAGTAAACAAGTTCTTACCAACAAGGGCTGGTGTTACACTGTAATTCCATGATTCAGTGCCATTGAACTGTAGGGCTAGAATATACGTGAGGCCTAATACAAAATATTCTGGATATATTGTACAAGTGCACCTTAAACTGTCTTTTTCATTCTCAGGAACACACGTGTTTCTAAAAAAATAGGCACAAAATTATGTGATGGTTAAGAGAATGTGACACACTATTGATTGAAAAGATGATCAAGTTTCCCAACATGTGTAACTAATCAGAACTGAGACAAGTCAGTTCCCAGAAATGTTTCCAAAACAAAACAGAGATCCCCAAACAACCCACCCTCCCCAGCCACCCCCTGGATATCTGTATCACACAAATTAAAAACCTGAGAGAAAGGTCAAGGATTGATCCCAAATACAACACTTTGTCACACTTCAGCTTCTAAAGGAACATACTAACATCTTGTTAGTAGAGGAACAGGTTTACTGCAGTGTATCAGCAAGGTTATTTGAATGTTGGTGTGGTGAAATCATGCAGCAAGGGACAGAAGAACCCAGATGCATCTTCTTGTGTAAGAGATGATGACTGGCCCTGCTTAGAACAGGGACAACAGTCTGTACCTGAACATGGAGCTACACTGTATGGAGAAACAATCACCTGGCCTTCAGTGGAAAGCATCTTTCACACATTCTATAGACCAGTGAACCAAGAAAGATTTCTCATGAAGAAGGTAAAATTTTGCACAAAGTTAAGGTTCTGTAAACTTCTAAGAGCCCTACCACTCCTACCAGTAGGACTTGATCCCTCCTCTGTCCTAAGAGAGCAGAAAGTTCTACAGAAGAGTAGACCACTGGACTGAGGGTGCTGTTAATTGCAAAAACCCATTTTACTTAAAAGGAAATAATCCATTTTACTTTAAGAGGAATAATCCAAAGTACATTTTGTCCCAGACACCCATGGTAGAGGGAGGGAATTAAAGCCAACAGTGGCTATAGGATATATGAAACTCTAACAATGGCAGTGCAACATCTTATTAAACACTTACGAAACAGAAGAAGTTTCCTTGCTGTAGCAGAGCACAAATTCTTTGGAGCAATTGGTTTGTGCAGGCACCTTCCAGCGACAAACCAGCTCTTTGTCATAGTCAGTGAAGCATGCAAATTCTTGTATGTGTCCTGCAGCCAAAACTAGGGAAAAACAGCATACAATGAGAAGCAAGAGAATCAGAAAACTATATTGGATTAAGCAGAAATACTAACTTTTCCATCTAAACAGAGCTACCACACCTCTACAAATTAAGTGAAAACACTTATTTTTTGTGTCTGGGTAAATGGAAAGAGGGGCACTCAGACTGTCTTCACCTTTCTGGAGACAATGTCTAAGGTCTTGGACGGGAAGAGTCTGCAGTAGTAATACTGAGATAGAACATTTCAGCCAATATAGACTTCCAAGAACAGAAAATCCAATTGCAATAACTCTGTTTAAAACACATAAGCATTAAATTACAAAACAGCACCATCCCACCTGTTAAATACAAAAGCTTCAAAACCCAAAAATGCAGACAATTAACAGAGTCAGACCAGGACAACAACTTACAGTCATGACTCACGTCTTACCTACAACTAAGGCAAAAGGTTCTAAGCTTCCCAAATGCATGGGGGAGCATGTTCCCAGAGCAGCTCCCCAGTGCCTAGAAGATCTCTCTGCCACAGTCTTTCTTTGTATATACCTTTACTTCATTTCACTCAGTACTTCTGTCTTCTCATCATTGTTATGAGAGCATTCAAGACTGAGGAGAGATGGAGTCATACTGAGCCAGGCTCCGAGGAGGTACACAAAAGCCCAGAGTCTCTGCACTCCAGTGTTCAAGTTTATAACTATTTTCACTGGCAATATTTTACCAAAAAATAGAATATACTGGTCAAAATATCTTTGATAAAACTGGAAGTGGAAATAGAATCCAATATCTTTGGTAGAACTGGAAGTGGAAAGAGAATCCACAATCCTCAGTACCCCTTCCAGCCTCACTTTCCTTTATTTCAATGTACTCCACAAGAGTGATACACAGAACAGAAAAGAAGAAGCTAGGTGACAGTAAGGCCATGTTATTTGGACTAACAGTGTGCCAAACCTGATACTGGACCCTGGAATGCGACCATAAGAAAATAGCTAGAAATAGTTAATACTTTTATCATGCAATACAATTATTTGCCTTTTCTGATGTTTGACTTCTTTTTTACAGATAAATAATAACAGTATCTCCCTTTTCTTGCACAACCTGTACAAATATAAATTCTTTTCTGCTTTACATGTCAATCTCCTGTAAAAAAATTAAAATACCTGTTTTTCTGAATCCTATTAAGATTATCTGAGAATTTCCAAAGGGATCCCGCTAGAACGTTTTCTGCAGCAATTATACAAGACCAAATTTTGTGAACTTGGCCATTTACATTGCAAATTCAAGACTCATTTGCCAATTATTCACATCCTGCAAGGTCTTTGTCCTTCAGCCACTTCTGCTTCACAGGCTTATTCCTTCCAACAGGTACCTAAATTTCAGAGTATTCCTCCCACACCTTTTTTGCTGAAAGTACCAAATTTAATTTTATCTTCCCTGCATTTCTATTTTTCTATAGTCCACTTGTGTTATTTACTATGATCCAACTTCTGCATACTCTGATACAGTACAGGATCTGCAAATGTAAAATGTGATCGTCAGATACCTTTTAGTGGATATGATATACAGCACAATGGGATCTATAAAATTTGGATTCTAAGTTGTCTGGTATATTGACTGCTTATAAACCTAGAACTGACTGTGATTCATGGTTTCATTAGTGTTCAAATACTTTAAAAATGTTTTGGTTTATTTACTAAGGCTAAATATTTAACCTGCAGGTAAGAATTATTGCCGTTATGTCCTTTCTGGATGGCAGTACCAGGTTCCTTTTTTTTCTGCATGATACCCAATTCTTTAACACTCATCAAAAAAACAGCAAGTCAAACTCCCGCAACACTTTAACAGTCATACTGCTTTTTATTTCACAATAATCATTACCCTGTTGATGTTGTCTATATTTGGTTGTCATTTGTAATTTTATTGATAGTTTCCTTTTCTCACTTTAAAATGTACTTTTAACAGAAGTACTATCAAGTTAAGGCCCTTAAAGATGCATGACATTATTTTTAATCTGTTAACCATCTTGCACTTTTAAGAATATTTCAATTAAATGAAGCTCTTCCTGTTGTGTTAAGCTATGATGACTAACAGTTTTACTTTATTTTGCCATTCAGTGCTGTCATGTCTTTTCAGAACTCTAATTTATATTCTCTGCTCTTTTTCTGTTACCTTCTCACTTTTTCATCTCTGGTACACCATATTTTTTTCAAAAAGCTCAGATATTTGAGAATTTCCTTTTGAAACCATATACAGTAAAGGGTTTGTTTTTACTTTGTATAGTCAAAAGAGAGAATTTAAATACTGAATTTCTTTTTTAATCCTCAAAGAGTACACAATGCTGAACAAACTTAAAATGCATAGTTAACTAGGCAAACAAACCCAAACAAAACACAATGAAATTAAACTTTGATAAAGATCATTTAGGGAAATGAAAAGGTGGGATTACCTAGACCAGACAATTCTGTCAATGTGTTCTTGCAAACCTTGATCCTTCTCATTAATTCAAATTGCACTATTTCATCCTATGTAAGACAGTAGCTAATAAACCTTCTTTTTTAGAGATAGAGTACTTTAAATTGCTTTTTAACTATTTTTGTTTGTTTTATAAAACAAAATGAGATTAAGAAATTATAGACTACTGTGGAACTAGTTAAAAAAAATACAGAAAGCAAAGAGTGAGATTCATTTTCCAGAAAATAAAAACTCAATATTGAAAACCATTACTATATATATATCTCATTAGTATTTTTAACCAAACATCATAAAAGATGCAATGAAAACAACCCATGTTTATGGGTATAGGAAGTCAGCTTCTGCCAAATGAGCTTCATGAATTAACCCTTGAGGAACCAGCAGCACTCAGCCTCGATGCGTCTGCAGGCCGGCAGAACGGTGGAGAGGGACACGCAAGAGATCCATCCGTCCCCTATCTGCCCCTGGCAGGGCAAGTCAGAGCTGCTGTGTCCCACAGACAGGCCTGCCCAATCTGCCCTGGTCCAGGCAAGCAGGCAGGCACTCAGCAAGCCGTGCTTTCCAGGTAGTCACTCTGCAGCCTGCGGATAGCGCAGCCCAGCAGCAGCTCTGCAGCAAACCGCAGCAGCCAGGGCATGCCGGAGCTTCCTGCACAGCTGCCACCTGGCTCACAGGCAGGCGTCCAGTGCAGATCAGATACTGCGGAATCAGGAGCTGGCTTTCCAAACCTGCTTCTCCTTTCTGCAAATTCCTAGTTTTTCTTGTCCAGATAGAAAAGGTCAATGTAGAGATTAAAAAAAAAAAAATACAAGATTTTTTTCTAGTACAGGGATACTTCTGACATTTGAAGTTACAAATTTTATAGTAGTTCATTAGTGGTAACAGCGTTACCTAGTGGTCATGGAAAAATGCTATCAAGAAAAATTTCACCATAATAATTTATATTATTGACAAACATACCTTCATTTGTTGCATATGAAAAGAAAAGGATCCACAGGGGATATGGTGCAGCACTTCGGAGTCTTGCCATTATTGACAATGGTCAGGTTCAGCAGGAAAAACTGTGCTGCAATTCTGCCAACAGGAAACACAATAAGCTGACATCCTTGTCTCAGTTAAGGTAAAGGTGTAATTTTTCCTACCACTCTGCTAGATGTTAGAATTCAGACTCCCTGCTGTACCTGTTTCCCACCTTTGGCCCCTAAAATTACCTCATGAAACATGATATGTAGAAGAATAAGGAGAACACAAATGAGCTAGAAAACTTTTCTGCAAAATTTTAATTACAGAGGATACAGAACTGTCATTGGCAGTGGAGCTACTCTCTTTAGCTACTAGAAAAGAAAGGTTGCTAATATGTAAAGGGCAAAAAAGGGCAAGCACTAGACCAAAATCAGTGACATTGTCACCAAAGCCCTGTGATTCCACTCAGATAAGTAAAAGAATTTATGAATGAAGTGTTTAATCTAAAATGTTTTCTCCAAGTCTTATCACCAGTACCTTGATAATCTGAGTATCACCTCTTTAAAAAGAAATTTTAGCAAAGAACTCTGAGCACTGCTCCAAAAGAATGCAGATTCATTAAAATATTAATTATTTAAAAGTTGTAAAACACATACCTAATCATGATATAACCAGAACAACTTTGGAGAAGGAAAATAATGCAGCTTTTATGTCCCTAAGCATAGCAAAACTGTCTAGGTAAATTGAAAACAGATGAAATAATTAATTTCAGACTTAAAAATAGCAAGTGTCCCCAAGATGTTTTACCAATATAGTTACTTAATGTGTAAGACAAGGCTACCGGCTTTCATATCACTACAAATGGATATGATGCATTTAAAAGTCTGGTAAATTTGTAAGTGAAGTCATGCTAATATGCTTTTGGCTTTACTTTCAGTATAAAGAGGGATAAAATTTGTTCAGCAGCGACACAACCCTTTGGTTCCTTCCTCTCATGCTTTTGGAATTTTCTAACTTTCATATCTGGACAGAGTATTCTTGCTGACTGCAAGTTTCAGCTATTCTGTTTATACCTGTAGGGTTCCCAGGTAGTACACTAGTTTTTATTTCAAGGAGAGGAGAGAAGACTCCTTCAGCAGGTGAATGGTGTTCTGCATAAGATTGGTCAGATTATGAAGTAGAAAAGACCACTGAAAGGTATTTGTGGATGGTGGTTCAATACTCTCTTCCCCAAACCAACCATGCAGCAGAATTACATTACACATGTCTGACAGAGGTGAGTCAGTCTGTCTGAAAATATCCATCTTAGAAGTTAAGGGATAAGGACATTTATAGTAAAAATGTAGCGGACCCTGACTCAGGGAAGAAATGATGATGTCTGGCTCCAGATCAGAAGGCTGAAGGATAGCTTTATTAAAACTATATATATTACATTAATACACAATTTAAAGAGATACTATACTATTCTACATACTTATTTTTTACTCACCTATTTAACTACAAACTTGTGACTCTCTGCTGAGAGCCACAGCTGGATCCCATTGGTCACTGAACCCAAACAACTTTCACCAGAATCCAACCCAGCAATCACTGCAGGTAAAGATCTCCATACCATATTCCACATGGGGAAAACAAAGGAGCAGAGATGATTGTTTTCTCTTCTCTCTGTGCTTCTCCTGAGAGACAGAATTATGTCTCTGTCCAGAGAATGTGAATGTCACAGACATTGTTAGTCAAAATAGAAGATCAAAATGGCAACTCTTCTGTGACCTTCTCTGGGGCAGCTACTGCTCATCTAGTAATAAAGAACAAACTTGAAAGACAAATTTCTCATAAGAGCTTGAGAAAACTATTACTCAAGAGCTGAATTTTTTTCATATTCTGAGAAGACATGAAATGTGGCTAAGCACAGTAATACATTTTTTTTTTAAAGAACACAAGCACCTTTGCTGTTGCTCAGAAGAAAAGGGCCAACTGCTCTGGCATTCAAAACAAAATCCTTCATTTCCCTTTTTCCTGGAATTCTCAAGAGAGAAAGCATTTACTTTCCACTGTTAGGTAATATTGCCACATGACTGGCGTTCCAAGAAACTCTTGGAACACTTAGAATTTTGGCGAAGAATCCTAAACCACGTAAGCATGTTAAGCAGATGGCAGACCAAAACCATCTTCTCATGGAAAAATGGATCTGCACATGTGGATGAAAATGGAATTAAGCCAGAACTTTAATAAAACTGCAAAAGGAGAAAGTTTTAAAATACCCACAGCTCTTCTGCCTGTTACCTCTTAAGTTTTTCATTATACCAGACAATGAAATACCAATCTTAAAAAAAAGTATGTAACACAAATAGACAATCCTAAAATTGCAGCCAACCTAGTAACTCTGATAAATTTGAGAAAAGTAAATTGTAAAGATATAAGTCACTTCCTCAAACTAGGAAAGAAATCTCTGTGGGTGTTAGAAGCAGATCTACATAGCCACTAGCACAAGCTACATACTTTGATCACTTAACCTTTCTGTTTCTTGAAAAAAATACTATATTATTAGAAATATTCACTATCAAGAAAAACGGTAGTAACTTTTGGTCTGGTCTTCTAAGGAAATTAGGGTCACATTCCATTAACAGCTATAATCTGCAAAATTGTTATGTGCAAAGAGTAACTCCTGCCCAAATCAAGAGGTCATATTAAACAAGAGTGCTTAATGCACCGTTGCTGCAAGTGTACAGATGAAGCATCATTCCCTGTTTAAAACTGCCTCTTTTTAAAACTGATGCGCAACTTGTCTTACTCTCTATAGAGTTTAAATCACTGACTATAGACGCTGAATAAAATGAGACAAGCGATACACAGCAAAGCAGAAGTTTCACCAATAGATTCTGCATCAAACCTTGACAAGAAATCCGTACAGAGCGTAATGCCTTGTGAGGAAAAACCGCTCCGTTCCGGGTGCTCAGCAAGAACCGGCCCGAAGCTCCGCAGGGCTCACGGGGGCGCAGCCCGAGCCCGGGCTGGCCCGGCCGGGAGCGGCTCCGCTCGCCAACGCGGGCCCGGGACATGCGCGGCTGCTGCGCCCACGGGCAGCACGTCCGGCAGGAACAGCGCTTCGGAGAACTACACCTTTCTGCGTAAAACTCTGTAAAACTCGCGTTTAACAGCCGCAAGGAAAGAGAAGCGATTCTGGCCGCGGGTTCCAGCCGGAGCCGCCGCACGGGACGGGGCCAGGGACATACGGCCGGCAGCTCCGGAGAGAGCACAGACCTTCCGCCCTTCCCAGAACCGGCGCGGAGGAAAACACAGACCACACAAACGCACGCCAAGCGCAAGTAACGAGAAGGAGCCGGTCCTGACACCAGGACGAAGGGGCCGCCGGACGTACCTTGTGTCTACCGGCCCCCGCTGGGAACCTGGGCACTCGGGACCCCGGACTCCGCACTGCGCGGGGCGCGGCCCGCCGCCTTCCGCCCCCACACGCCGCCCGTCCTTCCGTCCGGCGCGGGGCGGGCCCGGCGTGGGGCGGGGCCGGCGCGGGGCGGGGCGGGGCGGGGCGGGGCCGGCGCGGGGCCTTCCGCCTTCCGCCCCCACACGCCGCCCGTCCTTCCGTCCGGTGCGGGGCGGGCCCGGCGCGGGGCGGGCCCGGCGCGGGGCGCGCGCAGCCGTCGCTAAGCCGGCGGGCGTGGGCAGGTGCGGGGGTCGCTGAGCGGTGGCACTGCGGTGGGAGCCCCGGAGAGCCCCGGTGGGTCCCGGTGGGGCTGCGGGCCAGCGGGCCGGGCGGCTTTCCGTGGCACTGCCTCCGTGGGCTGCGGCTGGGCCGAGGCCGCGTGGGCCGTGAAGCGGCGAGGTCAGAGCTCAGCCAGAAGCGGGCAGTCGGCCGGTGCAGCGGTCAGGGAATTTCCTAAGCTGCCTTTAAGTACTTCAGGCGTTCTTCGAAACCTGTAGAGGATTGTTTTTCTGTGCAAAGTCACCCGCTCTGACTGACTGTGCTCAGATCAGGCTGTGTGGGGAGCAGGAGCTTTGCCTAAGGGGGAATGACAGGCGGTGTTGTGTTTGTCAGCCAGCGCTGTTCTTTTCAGGTTTGCAAATCCCGCTGGGGAGTGAGTGTAAGGTTACTGGGGCGTTGTAGCGGGGAGTGGGCCGCGGGCCGCTCTCCTGCTCCAGTTCCTGGCGAGTCAAAGCGGCCCAATACAGTTCGCTCAGCAACATGCTGAGCAGCTTCGATGAAAACCGCGCCGCATAGAGAAGATCGAGGTCGAAGTTTAGAGGCTCAGTGACCACCAGGGGTGCCTAAAGACCCTCCAGGAGCACCGTCTGAGACTAACTGTGCAGACTCAAGCGGCTTCTGTGTGTATAACCTTGAGCCAATTATGCACGTTAAGCAGCAGTCATTCCCCTGTGTATCCAGTGCTGCAGTAGAGTATTCCTTGCTTGTTAATACTACATCGGTCTTAAGAAGAAGTTTTATTCTCGATTTTGGGTGACAACGACACAATGCCTATGTTGTTTTTTCTGGAGCTAAAACTAGTTGGACTTCATCTCTTCCACCCTTCCAGAACCTCAGAGCTGGTCACCCTCTGCATTCTGAGGACAACCTTGGGATCTGCTTTTTTTTGCCCTCATTCAATGTAATAGATTTTAATTGAAATCTTGTGTATACTTGGACTGTTGTATTCTCAATTTGCATTAACATGTGCATTAATTCCAGCTTAAACCTCCTGCAGCACTTGAAGCCTGGTGAAACACTGTGATGGCAGCTCAGATGACCAATGCTCATCGACGGTTCTTGCAGGCTCTGATGTCTAATGGCATAACAGAAGGATCAGAGGCCAAAAAATTACACCAGCACTGCTGTGAAACTGACAAAGGTGTGTCTGTCTTAGTGATGAAAGAACTGGGATTTTTTCCTGGTGCATCTTGAAAACAATTTGATTTCTGAAGGGCATGCACCAGCTAAAAAAAGTTTAAGAACTGTAAAGATATGAGTCTTCCCTTTCTTTCCTGAAAGATAAAATAATATAGCAACAAGCAAACTAATTTCTAATCAGGCCAGATTTGTATATAGTACTTCTTATTTTATCAAGGTTGTTGTTTATAGGTTATACATATAAATGATTTTCAAAAAATAATTTTTGACACTGGAAATACTTCACTATAGTGAATGCTTTTATGTAAATGCACTTCAGTTATTTCTCCCCGGTGTTGTGGGAGAAGTGACTGCTGCAAAAACATTTCTGTGAGGATGAGATGAGGTTTCCTGCTGAATTGCTGTGCTTTTTTTCCCATCTCACCTGCACTGTATTGTCCATTCCAAGTCCTGGAAGCTGTGTTCCTACCAGGCTTAGGAGTGTCCCTGTGCCATGTCTACTCACTCTGCAGGGACTCTTCTGATTTTCTGTGAATTTGTACCCAAAGATGTAAGGTCAGAATGAAGTAGTCTATTTGTACATCTCCTGAGTCAGGAACTGTAACTTGACCTACTTCTTAAATGCTAAAATTGTGAAGTGTAACTTCGGGTGTTCTCTAACCCCTGTCCATTTTTTATGGAGAATATTTATCCCTTTTTTTTCCACATAAGATCTACTCAGGCAGCCACTTAACATTAAAATGTAACATTAAAGTGTTAAAACTGTTGTACAAAAGAGTATTCTGGTACCTTTCATCTCTTACCATCTCTCACTAAAGCTACCTGGCTGCTGTGTGCAATGTTTCCTGCTGACAGGGGCCAAGCAGGTGGTAAAATTATGCTTAATTTTGTACTTACTTTAGTAATGTTCTTGCTGTTCGTTGACTTTGTTCACTGAAGGAATCTTGTATATGAGAATCAGGAACTCCTGAGAGGAGCATCCTATGAGTGCTGTGCAGTTTGGGAGTGAGACCTTGCCCCAGTGCTCTTACATGAGCGAGGGACTCCTCTGACTGAGAACAGGATTAATTTCATGATAACTGGTTGGATTTTTAAGACATGAATCATTTATCTAAAATTATGAGCTGTTACTTTGTGGCAGCAGCTCTCTGGTCACAGAGAGCAACAGGCAACTTTCCCAGAATGATGCCTGGGAAAGGCTGTGATAAGATCAGAGAAAAGAATGAGAAACAATTCTTATCTTAACTTGCTGCACCTGGTATTGTGAGTATGTGGAATGTGTTGTGGAGATTTATTTACCAAAGGGTGGTTTCTTAATTAGCCAGTAGTGATGGTGTTTTAATTAGAGGACCAATTAGGTCTACCTGTAGTGAACTATAGTATCAAAAAAGCAATAGGTTTCTTAATAAAGAAACCATCAGCCTTCTGTAAATGCATGGAGTCTGTGTAACTTATTACATGGCCAGGGGCCTGCTGTAACATTACTTAGCTCTGGAGTTTATTTTAGCCTGATGAAGGCAAGCAGGAGTGTTGCCACTGACAAAGTCTTGTTTTGGGCAGATGTGAGGGTTGTGCTGGTGGTGTGCAGGCATAAACCATTGTATACTCTTCCATAGAATGACTGAAAGTCCATTCTAATTATGTCTATTATAAAACTGCTGCTAGTATTTGCTTGATTTGTAGAAAACTACTCAAGATATTTCTTGTGTTTCTACAACACTAGAATTTTAGGTTTTCTGATATGTAATTTGAGCACTTATGTGCCATTAATTTGTGAAACAGAGCATACAGAAACAAGAAATCCCTTGTGTATAAAGGAATTCAAGTCAGTGTATTTTTCTATTGTGCATAATATTTTTCCCAATCATATTTTATTTTCAGTTCAGCTTAGTTCAGGTCACTGTAATTACTGAATTAGTGCTATAGCTTCCCTGCAACAAGGCAGACTTTCTGCACTCTGTCAACTGATTTTTAAGGAGCTGAGCATCTCTGAAGGCCACGAGACAGCAGCGCAAGGAAATGATATATCTGCTAAATAGAACAGTTTGAATTCATGTTTGAATTCTGCCTCAGTTTTAGCACTCTTACCTGGGAAAAAAATGCTTCACATAAAAAGATCTGCCTGATGTGTGTGTAGTTGTTTGACTTTTCTCTGTATGTTTTTTCTCTGTATGACTTTGTTCATTCATTTTCAGTTTACTATGCACACGATAAACTGGACGATTTCATCAGCACTATTAACAGCCACCTGCAGCCTTTGTTTATGCAGATCCGGAAAGGAATATCAGAAGATGATGGGAGAGCACATTATGCTGTAGTAGGTACCTGCTGTGCTGTGTTCACATGGGGCTGGCAGTGGCTGCAGGAGCTGCTGGGAGGATAAACTGTCACAGCCCAGGTGTATGGGAATAGGACATGGCAGCAAGGATGACAGCAGTGTTGGAGTTACTTGGCATAAACATTGCTTAAGTGCTGAAGTGAGATTTCTTTTCCACAGGAGACTTTCTTTCCTGAGACAGATTTTTAAACTAGAAAACACAGAGAGCTGTCCAACATCAGTTTTCTTTTTCTCCTACTCAAAAAGCAACCTAGCATGAAGGGGTTGCTGAGGAGTAGCCTGTAAGTTGTTTCCCCAGGTGATCTGCAATGTGCATGTCAGAGAAGGTTATTTAGTAATTTCAGATCATACAGAAGATATTCTAACATTAGCTGCTGCTTTTAACCTTTCCTTTTTCTACTAAGTTGAGCTAATAATTAATAATAGTAGCACATGCAATAAGAATAGAAAACATGGGCAAGTGGTTTTCATAGTGAAAAAAACTGTGACTGATAACAAAGTTCCTGTTACTGTCTAGTACCAGACCTATCTAACACCTGTGATGTGTCAGCTCTGCTGCAGCACTCTGTGTCAGTTCTGGGAGCTTGTGTTGTAGAATGACTTTGCCTGGGCAGAGGAAGCTCTGGAGAATTTGTGGCTGGAAGATGAGGGATTGTAAAGAAAGAACTTGAATACCATCAAGTACCCCACAAAGAACTAACATTTATGTTAATTGTAAGATGATATATTCTTAATAACCTCAGGGGTTTTTTTACAGTTTCTGGTATGAAACTACATCGGCACTTTATATCAGTTTATTTTTTTGTAGGTGAATTTGGCAGAAACTGAAGTAACTAAAATGGCATCTGACTATACAGAAAGTGAATTGGAATTATTCAGAAAAACAGTAAGTATGTCAGTTATCACTTAGTAAATCATATTATTTGTGAAGCTCTCATCTAAAAATGAATGGAAATTGAGATGTGGTTGAAGAAGTAGTTGCCATTTTACCTAAGTTTATGTGAGATCAAATGGGTGGGGTGGGCAGAGTTGAAAGTATGTGTAAGTGATGATTTGCTGTTGTAAGTCAGTTATAGGTAAGGCAAAATCAGCACCATGGAAGGGCTCCCTGGGTTAGGAACAGGTCATGCCTACTTTAAGTAATACAGGCAACTTTCTTCATGATTTTCAGTCATGACTGCTGAGTTTTTCACTGGCTTCAGTAGTTCAGTAATATACAGTAGTTTTTAATGCCAGTAACATACAAAATTAATTTGCTGATTTGCATTTAAACATTGGTCTATGGTTATTGAGGTTTTTCCTCAAAAGATCTTTGACAAAGAGCAGATAAAAAGAAATGGATCTGTCACCACCAAGTATGGCCAGGGGTCCCTGAATGCAGCTTCGTGTAGACAGTGTGTATATTTCTATTTGTGGAAATGTTTTCTTGGCAAAGATTAAAACTGTCAAGAGGACAATGATTGTTTCAGCTTTTGGCCTTTGTTTTCTGGTTCAAGCCATATACTGTAGTATCTCTCACATACCTGGATGCAAAAAAAAAGGCATATCAGCATATTAAGGTGTGTCTGCCTAATTGGAGTGTTTCTGATACTTGGTAATGTTTCTTCCTGTAGATGGACCTAATAATTTTATCAGAAAACGGCTTTGCCTCATCTACAGATATTTTAAACTTGGCTGACCAACTTAAGACAAAGAAAATGAAGAAAAAGGAAGCAGAACAAGTGCTGAAAGTTTTTGTGGAGGATAAGTGGCTCTCTGAGGTAACTGCATTCAAGTGTCCTTAGTTCAGTGGGTCCAGCTGCCATGTTCTTACGGGTGTGGTAGCTGAGACTAGAGCTCTTCTTGCATGAATGATGGCAAAAATGGTCTTATGGCACTCATGCTTATTGCTGCTCCAGTGATTTTTGCACAAAAGGAAGTAGACTGAAATGGAAAAACTCCTTGGGTAGGTCTGTACAGGACCATATGGTTTCAGTTTCTTGTACCTGCGTCAGGTGGGTGTGTGTGTCCAGTCCTGCCCAGTGATGCACAGACACAACAACACAGCATCCTTTGTACACATCACAGCATCCTTCAACGTGGAACAAGAGCTGGGGAAAGCTCTTAAGAGTGACCTGTACTGTTAGTTGCATTTAGAATTTCCTGAAAAGGAGTAAGGCCAAACATGTTGAAAACTCCTGTACCAGAAATGCATGGGCCACTGTGCACATGGTTACACCTGTTTTATTTCATGAGGGAGCAGTGGAGATGAACTCACAATGCTGACCATGGTGGACTGACCATGTGGATACTGCAGTTGCTTGCTAAGTGAGACCTTAATCCCTTTTCCTGCTGGAGTCATTGCATCATAGATCTTCAACCTGCTACCACACAGTTACTTACATGTTGAGTTGATTTGGCGGATATTTCCAAAGATACATCAAGCAGGAAATGCCTAGATTTTATTGAAAGCTAGGAAAATTTCCTCTAAAATGCTTTTTGGGCGGATCCAAAACAGCATGTCTCTATTAAGGAGCACATGCTTGCTCATCTGTGCTTTCCAAGGACTAGATCTCTGTAAAAGTTGTGGAATTTTTATTCTCCTCCTCTAAACAAAGGAGTTCTGCTATTTCAAAAGTGTTCTGGCATTGCATTGTACTAGCATGTTGGTTTCATGACAGTAGAAAAAAGTAGCTTGTTAACAGGCAGTTAGCAAAGTCAAAAAAGGTAAAAGAAATTAAAAGAAACTCCTCATCTCGTTTCCTTAGAAAAATGGAGAATATACTCTGCATACTCGTTGCATAATTGAGATGGAACAGTACATTCTCAGCAACTACCAGGATGTGGCAAGGAAATGTAACATCTGTCGCAGCCTCGCCATCCAGGTAACATGTTTTATCACCTCAGTCAATGGACTTGCATGGACATAGCTGAGGTTTGTGATGCTTTCCCTTGGGTATAATCTTGGTCTTGTAATCTGGTCATGGTGCATTTTGTAAATTTTTTTTTCCATTTTAGGCATTTTATCTTCTGTCTTAAGAAATAAAATTGTCTTGGAGTAGTGTCTCCAAGTATAAAATTGGAAAAGTGCACTCCTGCAATGAGGAACAGGGTTGTGCTGTCTGGCTTTCCAAACCAGCATGTTAGAGATGAACTTCTGATGCTGAAATAGGTTTAGCAGTGAGGTGTTACCAGTGTCCTCTTCAGGCCTTGCCAATAGACATCAATAGTGTGCCACATTCTTTCTTGGTCCTGGGATTTTAGTTCAGGAATTGCTTGTGTTTGGACCTCAGAACATGTGTGCTATATAGAGCATGCTAAAGCACTGTGTTTTGATAGCTGGGATGTTAGCAGTTCCATCTTGCTGAAGTAGTTACAGCCTGGATTTGTATTCCAAAACTGCTAAATTTTCTTGCTGTTTGAGCCTGCATCTTCTGATCTGCACAACTAACATGCTTCCATGTTACTTTTTCCCACCCTGATTAGTCTCCTTTATTGCACTGAAATGGTTGTCTTTCAAGCTAAATTTTGTCCATATAGGGAAATAGTATTTCCTAGTTTACAGAAAAAGATCTACTTTAACCAATTTACCAGCTTTGACTGTTGAGTGTGTCTACCACCCATATTGTGGAACCATTCTTTGGAACAAAGTGTTACATATCTGCTGCACTTCATAACCACTTTCTCTTAAATTGAAAGACTGTTTAGAATGATTTTATGAATCAACACTCCTGATTTCAGAGCCAAGTATGTGAATCCTGTGGAATTGGAATGCACTTACCTTGTGTCAGAAAGTACTTCAGAGGCCAGACTGAACCCCGCTGTCCCGAGTGTAATGAATTCTGGTCTTGTGATACCCCAGGTACTAAGCAAGGTATATTTAAAAAACTGAATGCAATAACACTAGGAAATGGGCTGTGATACTCAGTGGCTTTGCCTGTAGTATTTATAATTGTGAGTATCAGCTATTTCTGACTTCAGTGGTATGTTTCAGACACTAAAACACACACAGGCAGCACTGAGCCCCCACAGTACCCAAAGAATGCCACAGGGGCATTAGCAGATCCTGTGCATATTTTTTTTAACTATCTTTAGGAGGTGGGGGAGGAGGGAAAGAATAGAGGCACACACAGCCCATGATGCTAAAGCTTCTGGAAATACCCAGCTTCTTAGAATCTCTATGGAATTCCTCCATTGGTCCAGGGAAATTGGACATGGTGAACAGCAACAAAAGAATATACAAAGCATTTTAGAAAAGGTGGCTATACAATATTATCTTTTCTCTTTGTGTTGTCCATTAACCTTCCTTTTGTTTTCTTTACAGGTGTGAGTCGGATGGGCTCCCAGACTTAACACAGAGCTCCACTCTTGGCCCTAGATGATGCCAGTAAAACTTGATGTCAGTGACATCTGTTTGCCCCCCACTCTGGCAGAACAGCCAGACTGTGTTGTATTCATTAGTAACAGTACTCAGTGTACTAATTTTCTACAGTTCTAAGAATCTTACAATAAAATGATCATTGATGTTCCTGTTCATAGTAATGCCTGCACAGCTTTCTTGGAGGCTGTTTTGTGTTATTAATTCTCCATATTCATGGGCTGGGACTCTCAGTACATGTTTGGGGATGAAAGATGCAAGTGTTGCAGTCAGTCCTCCATTTGATATATGCAACTGAACTCTTGAAAGAAGCCTTTCTCAGCAAGTGCTCCCTATTTGTACAGGAACAGTACAAATTCAGTTGCACAATGGAAATGACACCTGCTGTAGCATGTCAAGCAGGTGAAAAATCAGTGCAGTGTGTGCAAGGCAGCTGGCTCAGTCTCTGACCTAGGGCTGGAGATGGAACACTTCGACTTAGCATTGTGGTTGTGTTTTGTCCCTTCTTTAGATGCAGAAGAATTTGTCTTGATGTAAGGCCATTCATAAGCAGCTGTGCTCTGTAAGGAGAGAATATTGCCACAGAAGGATTGGGAAGCAGTAGGACAGGACTTGGGGCAATGTTAACTTATGTCTGCAAGCTGCTGAAAACATTACCATACTGAGACTCTTTAGGTTTTTAGTCATGGCACTTCTGTCTCCAGTTTTAAGTAAGGATGCTTTTTTCTTTGAGTGACTTGGAAAGGAGCCAAGGACTGGCTATTGCCAAACACCAGACTAAAATGGCAGCATTTTTGTCCTTGGTAGAGATGTGTGACACAGCAGAAGAGCTGTGGCAGATGATGGTTAATATCAAAGTATAATTACACTTCAGGTTATATAACTGCAATTAAACTGTGGATTAACTTCAGTTATGTTCTAGGCTTTAACAAGATGTTGTGGTTTAGAAATGGTACTTCCCAAATTAGCATTCCTACTAAAGTGCTCCAAACCATGAGATGCTTGCTCATTTCCTCCTCCCCCTACCTCTCCCCTCATGGACATGAGAATTGGGAGGTCCAAAAGATAAAGATCATGTGTTGCAATAAGAACAATTTACTGGTAACAGCAATAGAATAAGGAAATGAGCAGTAATAGCAACAATATCAATAACAGTGTACAAGAGAGACAAAAAATTCACACAAAAAGATTCACAAGATTCAGTCACTAAGAGACCAAGGAGGCCCTTCCTGCCCCAAGCCTGCAGCAGTGGCAGGCTGAGGTGGTACAAAATAACCTCTGGGTCTGTGCCATGCCCCTCCTGGCTACTGCAAAAATGAACCCTATCCTGGCCAGAACCAGGACATGAATAACTTTTTCCATGCAGGAGACTAGTACCTTGCTTGGTGTTAGCTTAATTTTTTAATGGATTGAACCTTCAGGTAGCACTATCTCTCTAGCTAACTCCAGGGTTTAGTGTTACTAAATCCAAGTAGAAGATAACACTGACCTGGTTATTCAGACAGAGACTCAGGCAGAGTCCCAGCAGTGCCTGTACAGAGGCTGTTTCTGATGGATGCACACACAGGACAATGACCAAACATACGGTCTTTAGGAGTTATTAGAAACATATACAAAAATGAAGTGACTACAATATCATCTTTCCACCTACCCCTTGTGACTACTTCTCCATGCTTTAACAAGAGTTTGTTGGGTTTTGGTTTTGCTCCATCTCAAACCTCTCCTGAGAAAGAGATGCTACTTCCCTGATTTTTGATTTCATTTCAGTGCTGCTGACTACATTTCAGAACTATGACCACCAGAAACTAACAGAGAAGCTGAGCTCAAGTGATCGCACATAGTGCCAATATTTAATTGGAATAAATAGAATCTGTCCAGGCATCAGAATGCAGGACTGAAATGCAGCCTTTGTGAAATTTGGAAACTTGACCAAGTCTGGATCTTCCACATCAACCTATAAAAAAAACAAACAATCATCAGAAGAATGTCTTTACTCAAATATGATTTGATAACATTAATGATATTAAAATTTCAGGCAACTATTTACCTGACTAGTGTTGTGAAGAATTTGGCTTTCATGGGGGTATAGGTTTTCTGAATCTTGTGGTGAATAGAGACGGATATACTTTCTTCCAAATACCTGTATATAATAAAATAAATGTTTTGCATTGGTCATTAACTGGCACATTACTGGAAGCTGTTGGCTATAGCTGGCATTTAACGGTAAAATATACCTGATTACAAGGAACATAATTATTGTTAGTAATAGACACTGCTATAATAAAAAGTCAAATCAGGATACTGGAATTCAAGTACCTCTTCCCTTGCAGCAGATAAGAATTTGAAATACCAATGGGAGGAAATGCCTTTAACCAGACTGCTTTCAATTCGAAGTTCAAGGCGCCCAATTTATACATCATTTTTGGGCTTTACGTAGCTAGAAATAGTAACTGAGAATAAGGAAGCGGAACCTTCATTGCTATTCACATCAACAGGTACTTGCACAGTGACTATTAAGCTTCCATATGCCCCTCAAACTCTTATTTCTGTGTCATCATTAAACCAATTCTTTCATTGGAGTGCTGAAATGCCATGAGAATTTGTAAGGTGAGTGGCTTGGCTTCTCTGAATGCTACATGAACTCCAAATTTTTGGTGTCAAGAAGTGGCAGCATGAATGAGTCAAAGCTGAGTCCTACACTGATACCAGTGGAACAGAAGGTTTAGGGTCAAGATTCATACTGCTTGTGCCAGCATTCCAGATCACCACAAGACCTAGCCATTATACTTGTTGGGAATTGTCCTGTTACGGGTATTATGACTAATGCCAGCAGCCCTGAGTGGCTACCCAACCACTCCTAACCAATTTGCTTTTCCTCTATGTTAACATCCCTTCCCACATAATAGAACAGGATTTCCTGAAATCTTACCAACACCAAAGCTGTCATACTGGCTATTTAGAGTTTGTTGCTTTCAAGGATATCACATAAATGTATTCTACAGACTGAACAAGTACCAAGTACTCCTGCCCTGTCCTACCCTTCACTATCACTGATTAAACTACTTAATCTATATAACTCTGTCTGTCCATGTGTTTTTAGGATGTCTTCCATACCCCAAAGGGATTAAGGATATTAATTAGCTCACTAAATAATCAAGTATTACATGGTATTTTTGGTGACATATGGAAGTGACAAAAATGCTGGTTATTGCTCCAACAGCATGTTCTCTAAATGCTTGATTTTTTTTTTTTTTGGGACTGCCATCAGCTGTTAACACCTCCTTCCTTCACTTGCCTTACTGGATTAAGACCTTGTATATTATAAAATGGCAGGCACCAACTAATGGGCAATAGCCTGCATTGTGAGAACCCCGGGTTTGGTTTGGGTTCTCATGGGGTGGTAAAGCTTCTCCTCCAACCCATGTTCCCAAAGGAAAACTCCACAGCCTCTTCTTGCTCGGTCTCAAGATGTTTTATTGCTAGTTATCTAACAGATTAAGTTCTCGGGCTGTGGCCCTTTGGTCAGTGGCCCAGGCAGAGAGGCACACACTCCTGACACCCTGACTGTCCGGTGTCTTCTTCTCCTCTCTCCCCGCCCAGGGCTGCTGCTATCTTTTATAAGATATATTACGTATAACGTGTTTACAATTATTCCCCAATACCTATTACCTACGTTGCCAAGTATTTTTCTATTCTAAACCAATCTGTGAGTGCCAACATCACCAAGAACATGGAGGTAAGGAAGAAGAAAGAAGAAGGATGGGTTCAGCCCACTTTCCTCCATCTTAGAACTTCTGACCCCCATGTACAAAGTAAAAACCCCCCTGTACATGCACTAAAACCCCCCTGTACACTACCAAAAAATATTTCCCTCTACTTTGTGACTACACTTACTATACTATCTAGCACTTTGTGACTGCTTGTTCCACCTTCAAAGTTGGTAATTCATTCCATGGTTCAAACTCGAAATCACAGCTAAATCCAGCTGCCTGCTGGGGTCCAGACTGCGTCTGACCACGGCCTGGAACCTCTAAAAATGTCTGAGAGACATTTTGAGTTCCCACACTGCATCTCCAGAGACTGCTTTTCTCATTAATGGAAAAACTATGATCTCAGCACCAGCCAGGATAATTTCATTTTGTTACCTGCACTTGTGCCTCTCTGTACTCCACAGCCACATTTTAAATGGCATCACAAAGTGTGGTAATCACATATCCTCTGAACAGGGAGAGACACAGTTCTCCCAGGATTTTCCTGGGAAGCTGTGAGAAAGCTCAGAGAAATAATTAAAACAATTATCTCAATCTCTGCACCTGGCAGGCAATCTCTGATTGTCAAAGATCTTTACAAGTAGGAGTTGCCCCTTCTTGACCAATAGGTGAGAAAAGATTCCTAAAGGCCAATCAGGTCTTCAGTCCACCATTGTTTCTATAAGAACTGTGGATTTCTAATAATAAAGTGCTTTTTCATGCCTTCTGATGATGGATTCTCTGTATCACCTTTTTCTGTCCCAGATACCCCTTCAGTGATAACAAAGTAGGGCAATTTCAATTGAAAACTGCCAGATTACAAAGACTCTTTTGCAACACTGGCACATAATCTCCCATTCTTTCAGGCAGAAGAAAACAAGTTCTGAGGTTTGTAAGGGAAGTATATTTTCCCAGTCCAACAGCTCCTATAAATTTTTCTTCCACCAAGAAAAAATCCCCTCAAGCTTTACATAGCATGAATAGTACAGTACTTTCAGAATGCAGCTGTATGTGTGTGCTCAGCAGGTAACACACAAAAGAAATACAATCCATACAAAGTTGCACTGCAGTTGTAAAAAACCATTCTAGGAAGGCCTGAATTAAGCCTCAGTTTCAAGTGAAAACATAGGTCAGCAAGATATAAATGGGACAGAGAAGCTAAGGCTCAACCCATAAAAAACCATCAGTAGAAAGTAATGTCACAATCCTGCTGGAAAAGTGTGAAAGTGTAAGCCTGGTTTTTATTTTTAAGAGTCTGATGGGAGAGCAATCTCCTTCAGTAAACAAAATAGGCTCGGAGTGACCAAAGATTCACAGTGGTCAACTGCTTGGATCCAGAAGAAACTCTTTGACCTGTTCAGTGCTTACCACAAAAGGCCCCAGTATTTTATTGGGTTATTCTGCACTAAAAGTCA